AGGCAGAGAGAGAGGAGGAAGCAGGCTCCCCGCTGAGCAGAGAGCCCGATGCGGGGCTCAATCCCAGGACCCTGGGATCATGACCTGAGCCGAAGGCAGAGGCTTTAACCCACTGAGCCACCCAGGCGCCCCCATACATGGAAAATTTACACCTTTTTTCAGTGACTCATTCCGTAGATTCTGACAAACACACAGTCACATGACACCACCAAGGTGGAGGCATAGAACAGTTCATCACTTCCAGAGGTTTCCTCATACCTGTTCTAGGTCCGTTCTCTTCCCGCACCCCCGGCAACTGCTCTTCTGTTTGTCCATATCGTTTATTTTGCTTAGCATGTCCGTGAATAGAATCATACCACGTCGCTGTCAGGGTCTCGCTTCTGTGACAGAGTGTGACATACCTGCCACCCATCTGCATTGCTGTGTTTCACTAAGTCACTCCTGTTTGTCGCTTGGTAGATGGATCACAACTTACGTATTATCTATGACATGGTTGGAGAATATTTGATTGTTCCTGGTTTTTGGTGAACCTAAATAAAGCCACTAAAGAAAACATTCACCTGTAGGTTTCTGGATGAACGTATATTTTCTTTTTTTTTTTTTTTGACTATGTACCTGAGTGGGATTCCTGGGTTGTATGGTAAGTTTGACTGTGTAAAAAACTTCCAAACTATTTTCCAAAGTGACTGCAATTTTGCATTTTTGCCAGCAGCGTGTGGGACTTGAGTTGCTCCCTTCCTTGTTAGCACTTGATAAAGGAAGCTTTCGTTATTATTATTTTAATAAATTTTAGCCATTCTAATAGGCGTGTAGAGGCTTATTATAGTTTTAGTTTGTATTTCCCTCATGGCTGAGGGATGTTGAGCCTCTTCTCAGGTGACCGTTATTTAGCTGTGAGAAGTAGATTTTGGCTGCTGCCCTCTAGGAAACCATCTTTTGCAGATATTTTCTTCCAGTTCATGGCTTGTTTTTTCATTTTCTTAGTAGTGTCTCTTGAAGAATAAATTTTTAATTTGGTAAGTCCAGTTTAATTTTTTCTTTCACAGCTTGTGGGGGGCTTGTTTTGTTTTGTTTTGAGTCATTGTCTTAAATATTTGCCTAACCTGTGTCACAAGCATTATCTTCCTTGTTTTCTTCTGGAAGTTATATGGTTTGAGCTTTTTTTAAAATTTTTTATTTTTTTATTTTTTAAAGATTTTATCTATTTATTTGACAGAGAGGGAGATCACAAGTCGGCAGAGAGGCAGGCAGAGACAGAAGGGGAAGCAGCTCCCTGCTGAGCAGAGAGCCCAATGTGGGGCTCAATCCCAGGACCCCGGGATCATGACCTGAGCTGAAGGCAGAGGCTTTAACCCACCGAGCCACCCAGGCATCCCTATTGTTTGAGCTTTTATGTTTAGGTCTATGATCCATTTTGAGTTAGTTTTTGTATATTGTACAACTTAGGAGGAAAGGTTTTTTTGTGGGTTTCTTCTTGCCTTTTTTTCCTTTTTTTTCTTTTTTGCATTTGGATGTCCTGTTGTTCTGGTATATGTGGTCTCTTACACAGATCTTTCCTCAATATTGAGAAAAGAACCCCCCCCCCACAGTGGTTTTAAACAAGAAATGTTTGGTACCTCTTCCACAAAATACACTGTATTAACTGCCCCTTTGCTTGGTTTTTAGTTAATAATTTATCATATATTTGGTTAAAAATTTAAAGCCTTTTTATTAATGCAAGAGATATCTAGGTCATTGGAATTTCTTGGGTAGAAATTAAAATGACACCTGGATATTTTTTTTCCCATCCCCCAATAGTTTACTCTTTAACCTTCAGTTTGGCAGGGGTTAGGGTTATTTTTAGAGTGTAGGCAGTAGAGCTAATCTAATTAAACTCCCCCAGCTACCTGGGACAGTGAGCTCATCAGCTCTTCCAGGCTGAGATTGGTTTGCTCTGGACTGGATTTTACATGGCAGTTCATCAAGATAAAAGCAGTGGATTGTTGGGAATGTAGTGCATGAAGAAGGCAATTTATGTTTGGGTCAAGTTTGGTCCCTAACTTCTGATTCTTTTTTTTTTTTTTTTTTAAGATTTGTCCATTTATTTATTTGACAGAGATCACAAGTAGGCAGAGAGGCAGGCAGGGGTGAGGGGGGGAGAGCAGGATTTGGGGCTCGAGGGCAGAGAGCAGGATTCGGGGCTCGATCCCAGGACCCTGAGTCATGAACGTGAGCCAAAGGCAGAGGCTTAACCTAACCCACTGAGCCACCCAGGCAGCCCCCTAACTTCTGATTCTTAAATAAGATTAATTCTTCAGTGCTGAAGGAGATTCTAGAGGGGCTCCTGTACTTGAGACCCAGGGCGCCGTCATAGCGTCTTGCCTCTTAATTTGGATACTTTAATTCCTGCCTCAGAGTTGAGACGGTTTTAAATTTCTTTATTCTGATAGAAATGTAAACAATAAGAATAACAGATCATTTCCAAAGTGATTGTATTTTATTGTCATCATTTCTTGACTTTTTAAAAAAGTGGTCCTCCAAAGGGGAAGGTGTGTACCCCAAGGAGTATTGAAGGTGACACGGTGACGTATAGAAAAAGTATGTCGGCACTTGTTTTTTTTTTTCCCTAGAAAAATTAAGCTTCGTGTTCGATGTGACTCGATTAGATGTGTGGTGCACATGCACGCATACTGAGGGCTCGTGGTGGAACTTGCCGCCCGTCGCGGTTCGCGAGCAGCGTTGAGAGCACTGCTGGAGCGCATCCTGCTGCAGGACTTTTCCCCGGAATTCTGCTTAGGTGCGCTGCCTCTGCGGTTACGGTCTAGTTTACAGAAAGAGAAAATGAATCTGGAGAAGGTTAAGTAGCTCACCAGTGGTCAGAAAGGATGCTAGTGGCTTCGCTGGTACTACAACCCGGGACTAGTTTTCGGTCTAGAACTAGTTTTGCTAAACTTTGTGGCCCCTAAAACGTGACCTTGAGAAGCTGTCCGCCTGCCAGCTCAGGGATGGAACAGAGTTGGCGTCGGCGCGCACAGGGTTGTCCCTGTTTCTGAATTTGCGGTACATTCTGTCAACTTCTTCCCAAAGCAAAGATCTCTTTTTGTGAGAGCCTTAAACCATTTTCCCCAGAAGACTGCTCTGCAGCCCCTCAGTGTGAGTGGAACCATACGGCTCCGCTCTTCCTGCCTCTCGGGGCAAGGAGCCCTGGCTGCTCCCGGCCGTGGGGCTACGAGAGCAGATGCGTCCTCTAGCGCCTTGCGGGTCTGCGTCTCGGGCCGTTCAGTGTTGAGCCAGGGTCTCTGGAGCCGCTGTCTTCTTCCGAAGGTGATCATGGTGGGGTGGACAGTACGGTGAGGTGGAGAGGTGAGAAAGCATCAGCGCTCTTCTCAGTTGACCAGAACGTGTGCTTATGACCTGAGTGTTTAATCGTAACGAAGTAGCACACTTGCTTTCCCACCTCAGGAGACGGGCAGCGGAATTAACCTCAACCCTAGGTGGGGAAGAAGCTATTGCGGGATGCTGGAGAATGTAAACAGGGCCCCCCGCCCCCCCGGGCAGGAAAGAGCCAGTGCCGTGTGAAGCGTGCTGTGCAGAAATACCTCCTTGGAGTAGGAGGAGGGAGACAGCCTGCTCTGCAAGCCGCGGCCTCACAAATCTGTGCTTTGTTGGCGTCGTCTCCCAGCACCCTTCCAGGGCCTGCCTCGGACTCGGCCTCGGTCCTACCCGTGCGTTGCTTCTACTCCCCCGCGCTGGCCTGCGGAGCAAGCTTTGGGCAGCTGTCTCTTGGCAGGGGACACTTTTTGAAGCAACTTGGATTTCTGTAGAGGAGAGTAGGGGGTCAGGATAGGGATGGGGCTGCTTCTGGGATAATTGTTGTGGGAATGAAAGGGCTGTTGAAAGATTAGAAGCCAGTGTGCCTGGGTACGAGGACCGGAGTCATAATCATACTTTGTCTTTGACCAGTGCCTTTTGTCCAGGCACTGAAAGGGCTTAACAAAATTCTGGCCTGAATAATATTATTCTTTGCTCTTTGGAATTTGCTCGAGGTGGGAGTGAGGCCCTGTAAAAATAATGTGTTACAGTGGTATGAAAGGAAAAAGGCTAGGTACCCCAATTCACAGACAGGCCTTCGCCAAACAGGTCTGGTGAGAGTTGGCGGAATTAGATGAAATAACGTTTACCACTTTTGAGATGGATTGAGTTGGTTTCATGGAAATGTGGCCCTTTTCTTCCCCAGCTGTGGACTTGGTGGCTTCGTTGTAAGAGGAAAAAAGAAACCTTTTCGGTTCTTTCTTGGGGAAGGGTGCTCCTGAATTCTCATTTGGCTCTGCCTCTTACAATCCTTAGTGTCTGTGCCTGTAAGATCAGAGCTTGGCATCTGAGTGAACACAGAGCCCGAGCTCTCACCCCTATAGCTTGGTCTCTCCCGTCTCTTGATTCGTGTGTAGGGTGGTATTTGGAGTCTGGCCCACCTCTTCATGTAACGAAGGCATGTCTTTCACAGAATTTATGGGTGATACATATGATTAAATTTACAACAGAAGATTCTTGCCTAGAGGACAAGGCTGAAGCTTTGTGTTAGGCCTCTGTGTGTGTAGTACCTGTCGCTGGGTATATACCTGCTGGTGCCGGTTTGAACTCAGTTCCTTCTTTCCCATCTCAGAAATCACTGCCAGCTACTCAGGTAAAGAGATGACCTCCCAAAGATATGTCTCTGTATGGAATTTAGACATGGGGGAGGGGGATCCGCTATGATTTTCAGCAGCTGACAAGCCCTGTTGAGCACACAGTCAAAACTGTCTCTCTTTTTTTAAAGGAGTCTCTACACCCAACGTGGGGCTCGAACTTAGAACCCTGAGACCAAGACTTGCATGCTCCACTGACAGCTAGCCAGGCACCCCTCAAAAAACCATTTTTATGAAAAATGACAAAGGCTGTGCGTGGTTAAATGTCTTGTCCCTTTTATCTTCTCTCCTAGATTATTTCCTAATTGTTTCATTCTCTTCCTCTCCTAAACGCAGGCTGGCCACTATAAACATCATTCAAGATGTCCAGCAAAGGGAGCAGCGCAGATGGCAAAACAGACTTAGCCAATGGTAAGGGGCCACCTGAGGTTCTCCTCCTCCCCTGAAGAAAGTGGAGACCTGGGATTTTAGTGGAGGGAAGAAAATCTTTCCTAAGCCTGGACCCTTCCTGTGTTGTTGTGTGTGTAGAAAACTACACAGGAGACACCCTGGACTATCTGGGACTTTTGTTGCTTCAACCTCTGCCTGTTTCCTAGAAGGTCAGTAATAGAGGTGTGCCATTAGGAGGAGTTCAGGTAGTTTGGAATTCTGAAAGGTTGTAAGAGTGGATGAAACCTAGGAGGAGAAGATCAGTTAGTGGTGGAAAGAAGGGAGCTGTGGGAGGGTAAGGTTCCCCAGTTGTGACGAGGGGTCTCTTTCTGCGGCAGGTCCTAGTTCGGTAGAGACAACAGACGAGAGATGAAGTTACAGCCTAAACCGACTGATGTGAGGGCTGGCCTCTGTTCTTTGTAGGGTCTGGCCAGGTGTGAACTCACTGGGTCTAGGGCATGTTTGAAGGTAGAATATCAAGATTTTAATAATGGGTTATTCCATTAATGCTTCAGCCCTGAGCCTCCTTCTGAACTGGAGAAATGCCCTTCAGATATAATTGGGCAGCGCAGCACTCGGCATTCTGAGCACGTTGGTCAGGATTATAGGCTCAGTTCTGGTTGATGAGATTGGTAGAGCAGTGAAGTTGAGTAAGGGAAAGTAAGATTTGTCAACGTGCTGTTTATTGACCTGTGTTCTCTTACCAGTGCTGTTCATTCATTTCTGTTAAGAAAAGTGAATCAGATTTTTGACTGGGCTTAGTTGAGAGACTTGGGGTTCTAGCGTGGTTTGAGGTATGTAGTTGATTTGGAAGTTGACCATCAGCTGGGTCAGGGATTGGCCGACTGTGGCCTGCGGGCCGGATCCAGCCTGCCCCTGCTTTTGTAAAGTTTGTTGGAATGCAGTCATGCCCCATTCATTCACATGGTGCTTACGGGCGCTTTTGTGCTCCAACAGTGGACTTGAGTACTAGTGACAGAGATCCCTGTGGCCTGTGAAGGCCCTTGCTAGAAGAAATTTGCTGACCTCTGGATCTTGGTCATTGGCTGTGAGGGTCCCCTTGCTGAGCTCGTGACGTACTCTGGCCTTTATGTGAATATGCTGGAGCCCCCAGGTTGTCTCGATTGGTTCATCACAATTTTAACAAGAAATGCTAGGAGTTTCGGTGTTTTTGTTTTCCTTCTCCCCAGAATCGAAGTGCGTGGCGCTTTACCCTTTCTCAGCACTCGCAGTTTCAAGGCCAGTTGTGTCTGAGAGACCACATCTGCCGAGCTTTCTCAGCACGCGGCGTCGTCTCAGCAGGTGTAGCTCCGACGAGCAAATGGCTGCACTTTCCCCCTTTCTCTTCCCGTTCCTACCCCCGTAGTTATCACGCTGGGATCTTAGTTGAGGTGCTTTCTGAAAAGAGCTGTTTACAAGTCTCCCTACCTTCTGTCGCCGTTTGAACCAGCGCGCTTGTATTGTTCATCTGTTTCCCGTGGCGGGTTTTGCCTGAGAGTTTGTCGTGCAGGGGTTCCAGGGCTGCAGAGATCTTTGGAACTTCTTGCTCTGCTCTGGGTGACTAAGCTGTCAGGAGCTACTTGGAATCCTTTCAGTGTCCTCGTGGGGTCGGGTAGCTGCTACCAGCATTGCACGGAGCTGCTCTGCTGTACTTCACAACCTTCTCTTCTGGTGAGGTCAAGTTCGTAATCATCAGGAAAGGCCGTGAACAGTGTTTAAAGTCCTCAGCCGCCTGCCTTCCTTCTACCTTGGCTTCAGCGTGGAGGCTGTGGTCACGTGGCTCCAGCACACTGCGGAGCGGGGCACTCGCTGGAATGCGATTTGGCTGCTGTTAGGTAGGTGAGTGCGATGTCTAATCGCTGGGGCTTAGATTGGCCAGAGTGACCTAGTTCTTGGAGAACCACCAACATGGCCAGCCTGGATGTGGTGAGCTTCCCTTCTCAGATACCGCTCTCGTGGCCCTGCTTTTCATCAGTTTTGTGTGTGCGTCTTGATAAAGCTCTGCCTCAATAAAGAGTTCCTGTAATTAGGAGTAGCATTGGCACTGTCAGGTTAATGGAAGTCAGAATACGTTTATTAGTGAAAGGTGAGCAAAAACCCATCCTAATGATCACAGTCCCACTTGTCCCTTCTACTTCCTTCTGGTTGTTAGTGGATTTTAGGACCTCAGGGGAAGAAATTAGGATTTGGGAGGGGGGAGGAGCGGTGCTTTCTTGAAGTAGGAAATGGTTCAACTCCCACCCATTGTCAGAATGATTTTCATCTGTTATTTTCTGTTTTTCTCTAAGAAGATGTCTATACCATTTCTTGCTGGGCATGGATGTTCTTTTCTCTTACATGTGGTTAAGTTATTCGGTGTGACTGGTGGATGTGCCTTGAGCAGGACAGAGCTTAAGGTGGTTGGTACTTGGGCACAGCCTGTCCATGCTTTGCAAGAGAGAGAGAATCGATCACTCTCGGGCCATCCTGGAGTTCTCCACTTGGTGTTGAAGTACCTTTATTTGCATGTGGCTTTGGTCTTAATCTTTTCAGTTTCTTGTCCTTTACTCAGAAGGTAGTCTTGGTAAGCATATGAACAGAAACACTTTAATCGAAGTTGGTGTCCGGACCTTTGGGTGATGGTTTTTAGACTGAGGCGGGACATCCTTCTGATAACAGTCCCATTTCCTTATTTCCCCCTCACTCCCCTCTTCTCACTGGCATGCAGGAAGCTTATCTAGCAGTCCGGAGGAGATGTCTGGCGCTGAGGAGGGCCGGGAGACATCCTCAGGCATTGAAGTGGAGGCCTCGGACCTGAGCTTGAGCCTGACCGGGGATGATGGTGGCCCCAATCGCACCAGCACAGGAAGTCGGGGTACAGATACAGAGAGCTCGGGGGAAGACAAGGACTCCGACAGCATGGAGGACACTGGCCATTACTCCATCAACGATGAAAACCAGGTCCATGACCGATCAGAGGAAGAAGAGGAAGAAGAGGAGGAGGAGGAGGAGCGTCCTAGGCGCCGGGTCCAGCGGAAGCGGGCCAGCCGGGACCAGGACTCGTCAGACGATGAGCGGGCCCTGGAGGACTGGGTGTCCTCAGAGACGTCCGCCCTGCCGCGCCCTCGCTGGCAAGCCCTCCCTGCTCTGCGGGAGCGGGAGCTGGGCTCCAGCGCCCGCTTCGTGTATGAGGCTTGTGGGGCGAGAGTCTTCGTGCAGCGTTTCCGCCTGCAGCACGGGCTGGAGGGCCATACTGGCTGTGTCAACACTCTGCACTTTAACCAGCGCGGCACCTGGCTGGCCAGTGGCAGCGATGACCTGAAGGTGGTGGTTTGGGACTGGGTGCGGAGGCAGCCGGTACTGGACTTTGAGAGCGGCCACAAGAGCAACGTCTTCCAGGTGAGGCAAGGGGGCAGGACGGCAGCTGAGAAAGGCGGGCGGCAGTTAGACGAGCCTGAGAGGCCTGCAGAGGGAGCTGACGGGGAGCTGCGGTAGGAGGAGGCATCAGGACTAGTCCTGCCGCGGCTCCCGTGATGGCTCAGAGGCGTCAAATGCCCTCAGAGACCCACGACAGCCTTTTGTCTTTCCTAAGCACAGAGGTGGTTAGAAGCCTTCTTACCGGTGGGACGCTTGGAAGTCCTCAGGAAGGCATTCAGTGTGCCCTGGGGCAAGGCTCTAGAGCTAGACTCCATTCGGTTCCTGGCCCTGCCCCTTATTAGCTTTGTGATCGTGGCAAATTCTTTAATCTCCGGCTTCAGTTTATTGGTGTGCAGCGTAGAACTAATAACACAGAGGACCAGGGCAGTTATACAGCAATGGAAGTTAAGCAGTTTGGAACCAGGCATGGGGTTAGTGGAATCCTTTGGTTGGGTTGGTTGGAACCTTTGACGAGTATTTGTGAGCATTACTAGTCTCTGTTTGCTCAGCAGCCCCACCCGTCATGTTGGTCCTATAGCACTGATTCTTCGGCATGACCTCTTCCCCAGCATCTCCTCTGGTTTCCTTTGTCTTTGTAGCAAATTTCTGGTTGCTTTCTGAATCAAGATAGATTTTCCTTCTTCTTTTCTTAAGTTTTTCCCCTAGTAGGCATAGTCCTAGTTCACCCGAGCACTTACCCTATACCAGTTCAGCCTTGCAGAGTCCGTTGAAATGCTCTCTTGCATCAGAAGGTTTTCCTCCCTCTTCTTTCACTCTGGGAAGAATGAACTTGAGCCCACGGTACAAGACTGGGAGAGCTAAGTTTCCAGCTCTGGTGCAACCAAAAGGATGGGTTATGTTTGTTATTACAGTTTTCCCCTCTCAAATTCACCTCTTCAGTTTCTTTTGTATGTCTCTTTTTTCATGAATACCCAGGCCAAGTTCCTTCCCAACAGCGGTGATTCCACCCTGGCCATGTGTGCCCGCGATGGGCAGGTGCGGGTAGCAGAGCTGTCTGCCACGCAGTGTTGCAAGAACACAAAGCGTGTGGCCCAGCACAAGGGAGCGTCCCACAAGGTAAGTAAGCTCTTGCCCCCATGGTTGTGTGGTCTCGCTCCTCCACCAAGGATCTCAGCCAGGGCCTTCCCAGATCTCTGCCCGTTGTGTCTTCTCTGTTGTGGTCACCTGCCTCACTTCTTTTGTCCTAAAATTTGTAGATTAAAAAAGAATGAAAAGCAGCCACCCTTAACTTCTTGCAAGTGAAGTATTTGAAAGCTTTCTAGATCTTGCACATACAGCGTTCAGGTGATGATACCTATGCCCTAAGCTGACCAGCGGTTGGTTTGGAAATCCTTGAGGTCTCCTGTGCCTTCCAAACCTCTTAAATTTCCCTTGATTGTATCTGGAACACTTTAACAGCTCCAAGGTCTTAGTGGCTGGCCCCTCATGTGCGAGAGCTCCAGCTTCTCTCAGCTCTGAGGGACAGCACTATTTATGGACGCCCTGTTTAGGACTGGGAATATAGAACAGACAGTCGTGGGGCAGCCAGTGAGGAGCCGAGAGCTCGTCTCAGAGCGGTCGTGCTGTAGAAGGATGGCGGCCCTCTCTCACAAACCCTAAGCAGTAGGTAGGTGGACGTGGGATATCCTTTTCTAGACCGAATGGCTCAGAAAAATACGGAAGTTAACCTGTTTCCTTGATTCTTAAGCCTGCCTTCAACCCGTTAGTTAACTGATTTTTATAGCTAAGGTGTAAGGAATGAAACTTGGGCACCATTTCTCTCCCCACCTGAGAGTTTAATTGATTTTCTTTGAGAATGAACCTTAATGGTTAATGTTTTTCTTTGGTATCTCTATTCGGATCCCTTGGGGACTTAGTTGAAATAGCAAAACTCCTGTGCTTTTGACTTGTTTGGAATAAATAAGCTGTAACAAATTCACATAGAACAAGAGAAAATGGGTTTATTAGTTCCTTTCCTGGGGTTTTACAGCAAAAAAGCTAGACATGTCTCTTGCTGAGACATTTAAAGTGCAGTCCTTCCTGAAGATAAAGGAATGAACTAGATGGCGTCTAATTCTAATCTGTAGAAACCTTTGTCTTAGGGCACCTGGGTGGCTCCGTCATCTGCCTTTGGCTGAGGTCATGATCCCAGGGTCCTGGGATCGAGCCCCGCATCGGGCTCCCTGTTCAGCAGGAAGCCTGCTTCTCCCTCTTCCCACTCCCCCTGCTTGTGTTCCCTCTCTCGCTGTGTCTCTCTCTGTCAGATAAGTAAAATCCTTTAAAAAAAAAAAAGAAAAAGAAACCTTTGTCTTTTTGTCCCTTAGTTGGCCCTGGAACCGGACTCTCCCTGTACGTTCCTATCTGCAGGTGAAGATGCGGTTGTCTTCACCATTGACCTCAGACAAGACCGGCCAGCTTCGTAAGTACAGCAGGAATGTTTTTACAGAACTGGATCTCTTGGCCTTGAAAATACCCCCACCTGTCCTAGGTAATATCCACGTGTCTGGCCCATCTGAAGGGTCCCTCCGTGCCTGTGCAAAGAAGCAGGTTGAGGGTTGGGCGCTGCTTCCCTTCTTTGTTGTGGTTGGTCTGCTGCTCATAGCACGGGACTGTTTGGTCTGCCTTCTTTCCTAAAACGAGCTTCGGCTGTCTTCTGTGTCGGCTGTAATCATGGGGTGATCTCCTGTCCATCCACTTGGGTGCCGCTCCGCTCGCCCATGGGAAGCACATTACTTTGCAGAGCAGCTTGGCGATATGGTCTGATGGAGTTTTCAGTTCAATTATGTATAGAAACATGTAAGCAAAGGATAAGTCTTGCACGAAAATATTAGTGCCTGTAATAGAGTCTGTCATAACAGTTTCTTTTTACATGAATTTGAGACTCCTGGTTAATCGCATCACTCCTCAGCCGTGTGATGTCCCGTAAAGAACAGAGCATCTTACTTGGATCTGGACAGACCTGGGTCAGATTGCCCCTCAGGCACCGCTAACCATTCTGCACCGCTGTTTCTCCAGCCTTAACTTGGGACATAACCAATCAGTATTTCTCTCTGTGATCTCCTTGAGTATTTTCGATAACGTCCTTGATGCCCCAGCATAGTGTCTGGCTCCACATTTGGAACTGTTTACATTATAGCTACTAGTTAGTTTAGTTTTAAAAATTTTAATTGTTCTTATAATAAGTAAATATATCTTATTTTAAAAATTCAAGTAATAAAGTATATTGACAGAATGTATATTCTGTCTCATGCACACCTCTCTGCCCCCACTCTTCTGGCTATTGGTAGCCACTGTTAAAAATTTTGGAATACCTTTCCAATCCTGTTTGTATACTTTTCTGTATCTTAAGATATACATATACAGTTCCCCTTGTAAATGGGATTAAATGTACATATGTATAAATAGACACACGGAGTCCCCTGCAGTTTGCTTTCTTCATGTGGAAGCATGTTTTAGAGATCTTTCTACATCCGACCATGAAGGTCTATTTAACCATGGTAGTTAAAGCAGTGGTTTATTATAACAGTTTATTTAATTGCTACCTTGTTAATGAATTATCTATATTATTTATGGTCTCGTTAGTGTTAAAAATTATAACAAGCCTTGTATGTCATTACCAATGTTAACTAAGGGATGTTAATGATTTACAAAACATGCGAGTAGAAGATAAGCTAATTTAGGAAATATAATCTCAGGGTTGGTTATTATTAGACTTTTATTTTTCTTTATTTTTTAAGATTTTATTTATGAGAGAGAGAGGGAGGGAGGGAGCGACTGAGCGAGTGGACAAGTGGAGGGAGCAGCAGGAAGAGGGAGAGGGAGCCCGATGTGGCTTGATCCCAGGATACTGGGATCTTGACCTGAGCAGAAGGGGCTACTTTAACTGACTGAGCCACCAGGTGCCCCTTGTTAATTTTCTTCTGTAGTTCCAGAGGGGAGAGGAGGCTCAAAGGTGCAACCAGTGGGCTAAGTTTGTTTGGTCTGCTCGGAGAGAGAGTTGTGAAACAGAGTGGGAGCTTACCCTGTGCGTCAGCTCATAGGAAAACCACTGTTAGATCACAAGAAGTTGGAGACCGTGTCGTGGGCAAAACAGATGACTTCGGCAGATTACTGAATTTGGAATGAAATGACAGAAGCAGTGGCTCTGGATGCAAGCACTGATGGATGGGCTAGAAATTCAAAGAGGGAATATAGGAGAAGCTTGAAGGAGGAGGAGGCCCAGATTCTGGATTTGGGGAAATAAGAGACTGTGAACTTTCAAGAAGTTTTTGCTTTAGGGGCTGAAGAAGTAGTAGAAAGCTTGACTGAGGTGGGGGACTGCGTGTAAGGTCATGGCTGGAAAGTCCAAGCTGTCTTTATGTGTGGAGCTAGTGCGTGAACATGCACACATCAGAGGCATCCTTGTGTGAAGCTGGCATAATGGGAACTTCTCTTTGTGTGTTTATGATAGCTAAGTCTCTGGAAGCTGGTGAGACTGGCTGACATTTTAGGAAAAGAGTTGGGTTTGGAGCTGTGGGTGGGATATTCCTTTAGCCGGTGGAAGCCCGTTTGAAATACTCTACAGAGGACTTCTTTGCCCTGATCTGTAGTTATTTTTTCCCTTTTTGTTGGAACATACCTGCTTACTAAAAGTAAGACTGATGAATCACAGACCTTGTACCCCTGAAACAAATAATACATTATTGAGTTATTTAAAAAAATGCAAATTTTAAGGCAAAATTTGGTAAGTTTGTTTCTTATGCTTTCATGTGCTTCCTCCTCCTGATAGGAAAAAAAATTTTTTCTTTTCACCTGCTGCCATGATTAATCATTTTTATAGCCAGCTCCCTGGAAAACCCATGGTACTCTGCATTTATCCATTGGGAGAGAGAATTTTTCGTTTCCGATGAGTACATTGAGGCATTAGGAAGATCGAGCTCGTTGTCAGGATTACAGGGTGGCGGAGCCCTGTTTCATAATCTGTCCCTTCAGTTTCTTCCTTCTGCTTCCACATGGTCAGCCTTATGTTTGTCTGCCTCTCTCCTTCTGAAAACCCACATTGCTGAGAAAATGCGATGATCTTGTGAAGAGCGGCAGCGTCTGCTTTTCCCCGACGGAGACCTGATACGAGCTGCCTCTCCTCTGGGCTAGTTTTGTTCCTTAAACTCAGTTTGGATATGTTTTCTACCTTGTGTTTTTGAGGGTTGTGAATGTGTGTGTTTTCCTTAATGACATTTTCATGACTTTCATGCACTGTTTCTTTTTTCAAGATTTTATTTATTATTTATTTGAGGGACTGCATGTGAGCACGTAAGTTAGGGGGCAGGAGGGGCAGAGGGAGAGGGACAAGCAGGCTTGATACCAGGACACTAGGATCATGACCTGAGCTAAAGGCAGATGTTTAACTGACTGAGCCGCCCAGGCGCCCCCAGGTAGTGCTTAAGTGAAAAGCTGCAGAGATTTTAAAATCAAGCAAAATCTCTCCACTTTGCTTAGAGCAGTTCTAGACTGGAGGGACTTTGACCATGCAGAGAAGATGCTAAAATCATTTCTTTACAAAGAAACTCGTTGTCATGGTTATATTTCTTTCAGTTTCCATAACAACAGAATGCACAAAACCGTAGAATTGAAAAGGAAAGCTAGAACCCAGCCCTTTCCTTCCCTGTCTTTCCTTTCCTGTAAATTCATTAATCTCTGTGATAGCATATTTGACTGGCTGGACACTTGGATTCGGGAAAAGTATTCATAGTGCCCCCTTACGCTGGGACAGGCAGGGCTATTTAGCCAGAATCTTCTGGCTAAAACTAAAATTTTAGAGGGTTTTACTCAGGACCCCAAAGACCTAAGGATCGCCCTTTTTTTGTGGTGCAACCAGAGGAGTAATTTAGAGATGATTTTCCAGTTTTAGAAATAGCTGTCTCCATACGAATCTCTCCTCACCTGCTTCAGACAAAGGAAGAATGCTGCTTTCCTTTGGGCCGTCCTGTGCTAGAGCTAAGGCTTGTCATTTTTCGGTGTGCATTTTTAGAGCTGGGTTGTAAGTGACACTTCTGTGGAATCTGGGAAGTAGATTTCTTCCTTCCTGCCTTCCTTTCTTTCTTTCCTTTTTTTTAAGATCTTATTTATTTGGGAGAGAGAGAAAGAAGGAGGGCACAGGCAGGGGAGAGAGGGACACGGGGAGATGGAGAAGCAGTCTCCCTGCTGAGCAGGGAGCCCGACTCAGGGCTTGATCATGACCAGAGCTGAAGGCAGACCTTAACTGACTGAGCCACCTAGGCGCCCCTAGGAGGTAGATTCTAACCTTAAGGTCTTTTCTGGCCACTGTTTTTATGATTCATCCTCCTCTTGCTCCCTGCTCCCAGATGGATTGGGAGGAGGTATTTATATTGATGGGAAGATGTGGGTGGTATCGTCTGTTTAATGATAGCTTATCATCGTGTTGGACTCCGGCTAAACCAACACTACCTGAGAAGCAGTACTTTCATATACTTTAATTTACACGTCTTGAGGAACACCAGAAAATGACTTCACTACACGTTTGTTTTTCCTTCCCCAAGGTAGCATTTATTAAATATATGTGGAGGTGATTTTTGTTTTTTTCTTGTTCCAGTGTTCAAAACAAAACTGCTTTTTTCTTGCTTTCACAGTGAGAATCTGGTCGTCTTTTTTTTTTTTTTTTAAGAGTTTGTTTATTTATTTGGCAGAGAGACACAGCGAGAGAGGAAACACAAGTGGGGTAGTGGGAGAGGGAGAAGCAGGCTTCCTGCCGAGCCGGGAGCCCATTGCAGGGCTCGATCCCAGGACCCTGGGATCATGAGCTGAAGGCAGATGCTTAACGACTGAGCCACCCAGGCGCCCCGAGAATCTGGTCTTACTAGCTGTGTCTGCATTACTCTCTGTGCTCTCTTTTGTCGTGACCATCTGGGTCTTTTAGAGAATATAACTTTTACACTCTTCTACTCTTGAAGGAAACTGGTGGTGACAAAAGAAAAGGAGAAGAAAGTGGGGCTCTATACGATCTATGTGAATCCTGCCAATACCCACCAGTTTGCAGTGGGTGGACGAGATCAGTTTGTAAGGTGAGTCTGGCTCTTTTGTGTTAAGACTTAGAGACTGATGCATTGGGGACCACCAGGTGTCCTTTGTGGCACATGAGAATGGGCTCAGAATCCATTAACCACCATCTTGAACTTTTTACCCTCTTCCAAAGAGCTTAAGCTTTTTCTGAGGCATTCTGTCCTGTGATGTAACAGTAGGAATTCCTGAGGGATAGCTTACCATATTACAGAGATTGTCAAGTTCTTTTTTTTTTTTAAGATTTTATTTACTTGAGAAAGAGCACGCAAGAGAAAGCATGGGGCGGGTTTGGTGGGGGAGAGGGGCGCAGACGGAGAAGCAGACTTCCTGCTGAGTAAGGAGCCTGATGGTGGGCTGCATCCTAGGACCCTGGGATCATGACCTGAGCCGAAGGCAGATGCTCCAGGCATATGAGATTGCCATGTTTTAAAGAAGTTTGATGAATTGACCAAGGTCCCCACATAGCAGCTGTGACATAAATCTGGGTTTACTAGCAATCGATGTATTAGTAAATATTTTCCACCATTTTTTGTATATAAATTAACATGTACTAGAAATTTTGAAGGCTGGCTTCAGATGCAGAAATGACGTGAGTGGGAGTACTCAGTGTGAGCTCTGGGTTTTTGACTCCCACTGTCATGTTTTCTTTCTCCTTAGTGATATCTTTGTTACTGTGAATGTTTGTTGTAACACAGGCTGTTGAGGCATATCCTAAGGAAAAGAGTTCAGAGGTTCAATCCCCATGTGTATCACTTAGTTTCCTTCTGGCCCTTAGTCACAAACTGTATCCCCTCCCTACCCAGTTGGCCTATTTGAGCTCTGTTTCTGTGGTTATACTCTCCCGCTTTGCTCAGAGATCATCAGTTTGAAAAGGAGGGGGGAGAGGATTGCTAGAAAAATGAATGATTTTTTGCTTTCCTGATTGGGGTGGGGGGTGAAAAGCATTATTTTCCTTTTAAAATAAGAGCACTTTTTTTTTTCATAATGATTCTGAGATTAATTTCACTGATATATATCATGGGGTTAGAGTAAGTTTTTAGAAATACATGAAAGGGGTGCCTGGGTGGCTCAGTGGTTTAAAGCCTCTGCCTTCGGCTCAGGTCATGATATCAGGGTCCTGGGATCGAGTCCCACATCGGGCTCTCTGCTCCGCGGGCAGCCTGCTTCCTCCTTTCTCTGCCTGCCTCTCTGCCTACTTGTGATCTGTCTCTGTCAAAGAAATAAATAAAAATTAAAAAAAAAAAGAAAAAAAATACATGAAAGATGACCTTCCCTTGTTCAAGAATCCTGCCACAAGAGAATTAGACAACTTTGTGCCTATTTCCTGTGTCCCTTGCTTTCCAAATTCTTACCCTTTATTCACCAGTAGTAAATATGGAGGAATAGTGTTTTTGTTTTTAATAAGGTATTGATCGAAAAGGGTTGTAATTGTCAGGTGCTGCCTCCTCCAAATAAAGCATTTACTGAAATTTCTGGTTTGGATTTCCTGCTTAGTTAGAGGTTTGGATTGCTTGAAAAGTCTGTATCTGTAGATAATCCAACCACTAGGTCCTTGATGTTTGGAGGAGACTAGAGCAGTTGGCTTTACCCAGAACTGCAGTTGATAATGCCTTAATCCAAAGCTGATAATGTTGCCAGGGTTAGACTAAGGCTGGAAATCAGTTTCAACATTTTAGCACAAGGAGGAATACTTAGATTTTGTCTTTTTTTTTTTTTAAGAGTTTATTTATTTATTTGACAGAGATCACAAGTAGGCAGAGAGGCAGGCAGAGAGAGAGAGAGGAGGAAGCAGGCTCCCCGCTGAGCAGAGAGCCCGACGTGGGGCTCGATCCCAGGACCCTGAGATCATGACCTGAGCCGAAGGCAGCGGCTTAACCCACGGAGCCGCCCAGGCGCCCCGGATTTTCTGTCTGTTATCAGCTCAATAGTCTCTGTCCCTTTGTACATTGCAAATTTTTAGCAGATGGAAGCTGTTACCCGACGTGTGTAGGTTTGGAGGCGCACTGACCCCGTGCCAGTAGGTGGCCCTTCAAGCAGCCCAGCTCGTCGCTGCCATCAGGCCGGTTCAGTTTCTCGGGCACCTCTTCAGTTCAGCCAGTTGGATGTTTTGGGATTTCCCCTTTCTCTCTTTGTTTTTTTTTTAAAGAATTTATTTATTTGACAGAGATCACAGGCAGAGGCAGGCAGAGTGGGGCTGAGGGGGAAGCAGGCTCCCCGCTGAGCAGAGAGCTGGATGTGGGGCTCCATCCCAGGACCCCGGGATCATGACCCGAGCGGAAGGCAGAGGCTTTAACCCACTGAGCCATCCAGGCGCCCCAGACTTCCCCTTTCTGATTATTTCTTTGAAGGGTCCTAAAGAGCTCGCCTTCCAGTACAAATCTGGAAATATTTTTGACGACTATTTTGTATCATGACGCCATTAGCTTTCACTCCTAGCCTGAAGGAATTCCTTCAAGGGAATACAGAGAAATTGCTTACTCATCCTCAAGGCCTTTGCATCATGAACACTGCATTTCGGTTTAGTATTGTGAAGAAGCATTTAAAGGAAGCCTAGAGAGACCTGCTTTTTGGCCTATAGCCAGAAAAGGGGTGGGGGAAGAAAGGAAAAAGTCGGCAAATGGAGGTGGTGGAGGCGTGGGTTCCTACTACTGCATCCTACTTAGGTAGGATTAGGTTTACGGATTGACGGGAATGAGGAAAAGGAGAAAGTATCAGGTGAATGAATCCTGGTGTGTTGACATGTAAATTTATTGGTAAAGGATCTGGTATAGGCCCTGGTTGATAAACACTCAATAAATAGTCCCTTTGCTTTTCTGTCCTTAGGCCGGTATCAGCAACACCGAGAGAACGCTAGATTTAAGGGCAGGGGCAGGTGGTGGGCAGGCTGGGGGGGGGGGGGGGGGAGAAGAGATGAGGGAAGAGAGAGGCTTAAGGTAACAAGCTAATGGGTCCGTGAAGGCCTGTGGAGATGCCATAGGGTGTTGAGACTGAGCTGAAACCGCGCTGGATTTGAAGGGCGCGGGCAGAATCAGTGTTGTGAAGATGTCACTCCTTCTCGACTTGATCTGTTGATGCGGTGCAATTCCAGTAAAAATCCCGGCAAGTTATTTTGTGGGTGGTGATAAACCGATTTTAGAGTTTATATAGAGAGGCAGGAGATCTGTAACAGCCAACACAGTACGGAAGGGGAAGAACAGAGTCGGAGGACTGATAACCCCGGCTTCAAGACGTCCCATAAAGTTGCAGTCACGGAGACAGTGCAGTGTTGGCAGAAGAATAGACGAGCAGATCCGTGGGACAGCGCGGCGAGCCCTGCATTGACACACGTCAGTGTAGTCGACGGATCTTTGACAAGGGAGGTCAGGCAGTACAGTGGGGCTGAGAGGATCTGCCCAGCAAGCGGAGCTAGAGCGGCTGCGCCGTCCACACGTGGAAAATGGAATCTAGACAGACCCTACACCCTTCACAGAAACGGACTCGGATGGATCACAGACCTAAAAGTAAAACCCCACCCTATAAAACTTCTAGAAGATCACATAGGAGAAAACCTGGACGACCTTTGGTATGGTGGTGGCTTTTATTTTTGATTTAATAAATTGTTACTTTCCGGAATGTCCAGTCGCGGCTCTGTTCATGCATCTTCACTGGCAGCTCGGGCACCTCCCCGCTCGGCGCTGCTGGCGGGAGCTCCCTGAGCTCTGTGCTCTGTGCTTTGAGACCGATTCAGTAAGGATTTCGCTGAGGAGCTCCTGAAAGGCTGCCCTGGCCAGAGGATGTCGCTTCCTCAGTCTCTCAGAGACCACTGCTAGAGTGAAAAGCTTATAGTTGGGAACTTCCTTATAGAGTTAGTCACGTGTTGCTTTGTCACACAAGACCAGGTTACTGAGGTTGTCCCAGACTTTGCCTTTGGACCACTTCTTTTCGGCCTTGCCCCCAGATTTGTTCACTGGGCCTTTGTCTTTTTTGGTTGGCTTTCCGGCATCTTCCTCCTTGTCCTTGGGAGGTGTTGGGAGGCTTGGAGAGCAGCGGCCACACCTGCAGCCTTGCTGAGATGTCGGACAAAAAGTGGTGATGCCTTTTTAGATATAATTCCAGCAACATGATTTGTGAAGTAGTTGATAAGGTACACTTCGTTAAAATGAAAAACTTCTCTGTGCAAGAGAATTCAAAGACAAATCACAGGTTGGGATTTAATACTTGCAAAAGGCATATCTGATAGAAGACTGTTACGTAAAATACACGAAGAGCTCTTAAAACTCGACAAGAAAAAAGCCCAATTAAAAAATGGGTCCAAGACCTTAACACCTCGCTGAAGAAGGTATACAGATCGCAAATAAATATGTAAAACGTTGTTCCACGTCCTGGGTCATCAGGAAAATGCATACTAATGACGAGATACTGCTCTGGAACACTGACAGCACCAGATCCTGGCCGGGTGCGGAGCCACAGGAACTCTCATTTATTGCTGGTGGGAGTGCGGGACGGTACAGCCACACCAGAAGCCAGTTGGTGGTTTCACACAAAACTAAACATGCTCTTCCTGCACCATCCAGCAGCTGTGCTCCTTGGTGTTTGCCCAGTAGAGCTGAGAAGTACGTGCACTCAGACACCTGTACACGGATGTGTGGAGCAGCTTTTTTCACTGTTGGCAAAACTTGGGAACAACTGTGGTGTCCCTGAGTCGGTGACTAGATAAACTGGTACATCAAGATGCTGGACTAGGGTTCAGTGCTCAAGAAGAAGTGAGCCGTCAAGACGTGAAGACACAGAGGACCATGAAGTGCGTGTTACGCCAGTCTGAAAAGGCTGTATACTATGTGATTCCAAGAATATGACATTCGGGAAAAGGCAAAAAACTATGGACGCGATAAAAATGCTAGTGGTTTTCAGGGGTGGGGGCGGGGAAGAGGGAACAGGCAGCGCACAGAGGATTTTCCGGGCAGTGAAAATGCTCCGTATGGCATCATAACGATGGATCTGTGTCCTACATTTGTCTAAACCTGTAGAAAATGCATCAGGAGCAAACGCCCAGGTGGTCGCAGTGTGTCAGTGTAGGTTCATCCTTGGTAAAAGCCTACAAAAACCATTCTGGTGAGTGGTGTTGGTAGTGTTGAGGTGATGTGTGTGCGGGCCGAGAGTGAGGGAAACCCCTGCCACCCCCGGATAGTATCGTAAACCTGGAACTGCCCGAAAAAATAAAGTCTCTGATGTTTAAAAAAAATAAATTTTTTAAATATCAAGAGCCGGTCCTATGCTTAGAAAATAGGGGAATAATTCGTGTTCATCTTTGTATCCGCACCATCTAGCACAGGAGCTGGCAAACTCTACTGCCTGTTTTGTTTTGTTTTCTTTGTAGTTTTGAGAGAGAGAACAAGCAGGAGCTGGGGGAGGGGTAAGGGGCGAGGGACAGGCTGACTCCCGGCCGAGTGGGGAGCCTGACGCAGGGCTCCATCCCAGGACCCTGAGATCGTGGCCTCAGCCAAAGTCAGATGCTTAACTGAGCCACGCAGATGCCCCTATACTGCCTGTTTTTTATAAATAAAGTTTTATTGGAACACAGCCATGGCCATTTATTTACATATTATCCAAGGCTGCTTTCATGCTACAGTGGCAGAGTTTGGTAGTTGTGACAGGGACCAGATGGCCTGACGGCTTAAAACATCTCCTGTCTTACCATTTCAGATCAAGTTTGCCAACCCCCAGTCTAGCGTCCTATCTAGAGTGTAGTAGGTTCTTCTTAAATAGTTAGGGAAGAGAGGGGAAGGAAGGTAGGGTTTGCTCAGAAAGAGGAAGAGCAGAGAGCCTTCCATACCGAGGAACACCGAATGGGCCATACACCAAAATATTGAATACTTAAATGTGTTTTACTAATTTGCTGACTTAGAGAGTTTACGGTGGCTTAGTGATATTTAAGAGCTGTTGATGAGGCTTTGTTTACATCAGATGATCAGCTGCTGTGTTTGCTGAGGAGGAGTACTTGGCAGTAGCAGTCTCCTGTTTGTCTTTTCTTTTTTCGGGGTTCACGTCGCAAACATTTCCGGACAATTCTCTTAATGTAGGACGTTAAGCAGGAAGTTGTGGGGAACACAGACATGTATTGATTCGTTCCTCCATTCCTCCCACGCTACTGAGCACTCTGGTGCTAGCCCACAGCTAGATAGACAGACCTCGCCTTTGAGGAACATTCTGGAGAAACAGGTATATTAAGGATAAAAATTGTTAAGTACATGCCCAGGATTACTCCACTGCTAAGCAGCAGAGTCAGTGTTTGACCTCAGACTCCTTAAACGCGGGAGAAACCACTTCTCCATGCTGTTCTTCCTCACAGAGGAAATTCTCAAACCGAATTGGACATGAGGATCGCGGGTAGAGGTAGGACGCAGGCTGTGACACGTGACACAGTGTGTTCAAGGAAGCCTCGCTCTTTTCTGCTTGTTCTCGTATAATGTACAGGTTCTTGGAGAAGAGGTGGAGAGTCCTAAGAGATGGAATTTGGACTTTATTTAGGAGAAAAATAGAGAATCACTGGAGAGCTTTTAAGCGGGGAATTTGCATAACATGTTGCATTTTAGAATAATTCTGGCAACAGCACGAGCAAGGAAGTCAGTTAGAAGGATACTACAGATCACCTAGGCCAAACCTCCCTCTGCGTCATGGTTTCCCTGTAGAGTCAGAGGAGAACTTCAGACCAAAGCTCCGGGGAGTGTCAGCGTTGAAGAGAGAAAGACCGACAAGCTCGTGAACGCCGGGGAGGGGTGGTTGGCCACCGCCCGGATGGTGTCAAGAGGAGAGGGAGAGGCCCAGAGAGTGGCCTGTGGGTGGAGGCTGTCGGGCCACCGGTCACTCGAGCCAGGGAGGCCTCACCAGCAGGTTGAGGGCCCAAGCTAGATCGGAATGGATTGAGAAGGGAACAGGAAGTGACGCGACGACACTGAACGCAGGTTGCTTTTTTCAGTAGTTTGACTATGAGAGGGAAAGACAGAAAAAGCAATAGTGGAAAGTCAGGAGAGGGAGGGAGGGTGTTTAGGAAATGGGCAGACAGGCACGAGGGAGAGGTCGAGGACTGGACTTGGCGAAGCCGGTCCTCGGAGGGGGAAAGCACAGCTGTGGAGAGGAGCGCCGAGGTGGGGGAAGTACACCGGCGGAGGCTTGTTCCTGCCGTATGTCCCGCACCTGACAGGATACCTGGCTGATGACATCTGTCCTAGGTGTTGGAATGAAGAGTCAGAGTTTGGATCACCGAGAATGAGGAGTGGTGACAGTGGTTGGATGGGAATGAAGGCAGGAGGAAAGAAGTCTTAAGGAGATCCTGGGCGGGGGCTGGGGGGTATAATCGTCACTGTGAGGAGCGAGAGGGTGAAAGGGCCAAGTTAGAGGCCAAGACAGGCTTGAAGACCCACGGACTTCTAGAAGCCTGGCCTCTGTAGCAGTAAAGGCTGTTGGAGAATTTTCAGTGGAAATAGTGAGCGATTAAAAGCTGAGAGGAGAGAGAAGCCACTCGGGTTCATGTGATTCAGGGTTCCGCTTGAACTGGGGAGTGTCTGGGTGAGAGTCAGGATTCGGAAAGGGCTGGGAGAGGAGGGCCTTCTGGGAAGAGTGGGAGCCGGGATCCCGGTGCGGTGACGTCCTTTATCTGTCCTGACGTCCAGCTCCCGGCTCTTCCTGCCCTGCTTTGCAGTTCTCTAAGGGATCAGTTTGTAAGTTTGGGTTTTTTTTTTTTTTTTTTTTTTTTTTTTTTTTTTTTTTTTTGACAGAGAAAGAGAGAGAGTGAGAGAGAGCACAAGCAGGGGGAAAAGGAGAGGGACTAGCGGGCTCCCTGCTGAGCAGGGAGCCCGGTGTGGGCTCCTGGGACCCTGGGATCAAGACCTGAGCTAGAGGCAGATGCTTAATGACTGAGCCACCCAGGTGCCCCAGGCGTTCGTTAAATTTTAACATTTTACTGTTTCTTCCGTTACAGGATTTACGACCAGCGAAAAATCGATGAGAATGAGAACAATGGCGTGCTCAAGAAATTCTGTCCTCATCACCTGGTAAGATTCACGAGGGGCCAGTGCTTCCCAGCTTTCCTAACTCAAGCCCAGGGCTGTCCCCAGAATCGTTGGCATGGAGTTGCTTGGACTTTGGAGTCCGTTCCCTGGATTTGAGTCCCAGCTCCGCCACTTACCAGCTTTGCAATCTTGGGCGGTCGCTTTACCTCTGTTAGCCTAGGTTTTCTTGGTCACAGAGTGTAGAGGTAAAGGTCATCGCCTTGCCCCGGGATGGTAAGGCTGGAGGACAGAGTGTGTCTGTCACATGGCTCGCACACAGAAAACCACCAGCAGGAAGCCCTCTCCCCTAAGCTGGCCACGTTTCACTCGTTGTACTCCTGTCTCTGCCTCTCTCTCTCTCTCTCTCACTCTCTGGGAGAAGATAGAGGGGACTTTGAAGGAAAACCTGTCTCCTGAAGGTGGTGTAACGAGTGGTGGGGGGTGGGGCATCAGTCAGTATCTGCTCCTTATTGCAGGTGAACAGTGAGTCCAAAGCAAACATCACCTGTCTTGTGTACAGCCACGACGGCACAGGTACGTGAGCAGGGCCCAGCTCCTAGGCTGGCACGCCCCCTCTGTCTAGGGAGCTGCGGAGCCCGTGGGCCGTGTGCCCTTCAGCGCTCACCGCTGTGCTCTGGCTCCCCCCGGAGCCACCGGGGCCTGGCTGCCGACGCCCGGCACGCAGCGGGAGGCTGTCGCAGGCGAGCCTCGAGAGGCGGGCGCCACCCTTAGAAAGCCGCAGATGAGGCTCGCCGTGCCCGTCCCGAAGCCCAGGCTCCTTCCTGAGCAGGTGCTTATGCCTGTGGCTCATTCCTGCCTTAACGGGTGTGACGTTCCTGAGCTTCCTGCCGCCCCTGGGCCGGCGGCCTGTTCTCGGTCTGCCCCGGACGCCTGACCTGCCTGCCGCTCCAGCGGAGCGAGATGGGCGCTCTGGCGGGGTGTTAGGAGGGGGCGCTCCTGGCGAGAAGCTGCACCCCAGCCCCCACTCCTGGTCCCAGCTCTGTTTCAGCCTTTGCCTTCACTGCTGTGTGCTTGTTCTTGGCAGAGCTCCTGGCCAGCTACAACGACGAAGATATTTACCTCTTCAACTCCGCTCACAGCGATGGGGCCCAGTACGTGAAGAGATACAAGGGCCACCGGAATAACGCCACAGGTAAGCTCGTCCCCCTAGCGGCCGGGGTTGGCCGAGGGACTGCAGCGTGTCGTTGCGGCTGCACAGACAGGACGGGGCTGCCTGTCAGGGCCGTGAGAGGGTGTCACTCATCGGGCTGGAGCTTCCGTGGCGTGCTGAGCTCAAGCACAGAGCCCCGCAGCCTCTCTCGCTGCAGGGGTGGGGCCTCAGTCAGGCCTAAGAAGACGTGAGTGAATGTGTTTTTCTCAAGATCTCAGGTCACAGGGCGCCTGGGTGGCTCAGTGGGTTAAGCCTCTGCCTTCAGCTCCGGTCATGATCCCAGGGTTCTGGGTTCGAGCCCCGCATCGGGCTCTCTGCTCGGCAGGGAGCCTGCTTCCTCCTCTCTCTCTCCCTGCCCGCCTCTCCGCCTACTTGTGATCTCTGCCTGTCAAATAAATAAATAAATAAAATCTTAAAAAAAAAAAAAAATCTCAGGTAACTTCAGGCTTAACAGGCTGTTAGGGAGTCTGGGAGAGCCCTCCTCAGTCTGGGGCACTGAATTGCCTGAAACCGGGGGTCGGGAGGGGTGAGGAGCTTCTGACTCTAGGGCGGAGGGGCAACAAGTCTGCAGAACGAGGCAGGGACAGAGGCCTGGTGCCAGTGCCTCATCCCCAGGCTGTGGCGAAGAGGGGCCGTCTGTGTTGTGTTTGTGGTCCCTGAGCTCGGCGGCGCCACGGAGTCACCTGCCGGTCTTTTAAGGCCTGGCTTCTGTCCCCAGACATTCCGGTTTAATTGGGATTGGGTGCAGCTTGATAGGGGTGTTTTAAAAGCTCCCTGTGTGCCGCCAGCAATCGGAAGAGCTGTGGTGGCCGCTGCTCCTTGTCCTCACCACCCCTAACAGGTACCTGTCGTAAGTTTGACTTGGGGAGAGCAGTGACTTGTCCTTTTTCTTCTGAGCTGGTGAGGCGAGCCGGGAACCAGTGCTTGGAACGTAGTCCGTGGGCAGAGAGAAGCTGAGTGCGGTCCCATGACCGCCGTGGTGCCGCACAGGGCTGCTGGGATGCGCGGCTTCTCTTAGTCATTTCAGGGGCCGGAGCCGTGTCCTTGAGAGTCTCGGTAGCAGGCACAGTTCCTGAGCCTCTGACGGGCGGCGGCGGCCTCGCCCGCCCTCATTCTCAGGCCTGCTGGCAGCCCAAGAAGCCCTGACAGACCCAGGGTGATCCTCGCGCATGGGACAGGGCTGCCTGGGCGTGGGCAGAGCTGGGGTGACTCAGCCTGGGACAAGTAAGGCATTAGTGAGGCTGGAGGTGCTCCACAGGGCGGAGACCGCGGGGACCGAGGCTGCTGCTGGGGGACTGCAGCCCCTCAGCCCCGTGGAGCCCTGCGGGGGATCGGAAATCGTTTCTGGGACTGGTGTGATTTTTGGCCTCTAATATACACACAGTCCCTTGATTTGTTCTGTGAAAGTGAAAGGACTTCTTTGGCTCTTAGCTGACTTAGAGTTTGTGAATAACTCAAGTCCCTATGAGGTAAATATATACAGGCCCGATGCCAACTCTCCAGTGGTTTCTTCCCTCCTTTATCATTTCAGTAAAAGGCGTCAATTTCTATGGCCCCAAGAGTGAGTTTGTGGTGAGCGGCAGTGACTGCGGGCACATCTTCCTCTGGGAGAAGTCATCGTGCCAGATCGTCCAGTTCATGGAGGGGGACAAGGGAGGCGTGGTGAGTACGCCGCGCTGGGCTGCCGGGCTCCCTGCTCTCCCGCCTGGAAGGTAGGTCCCAGCAGGCCCGCGGCGCTCTGGCTCCGTGGCTCCGTGACGCTGCGACGCCGCGACGCCGCGGCTCGGGTCCAGCCGGCACGGTGGCGGCAGGGTCGTCCGGCGCTGCCGAGGTTTTGGCAGGATCTTGTCTCCCTTTTTCTGTCTTCTGCCCCTCTAAAGCATGGTTTATTGAGGAGAGAAAGGGATCTTTGGAGAGACCCTCCGGCTTGAATGAGGGATCTCAAGGCAGACACCTTTTCTAAAAGAAAAGCGCTGGAGTTCGGGGCGCTCCATCCTGCGCTGAGCCAGAGACGCTTGCGTGGCTCATGCCTCGTCCCCCAAGGGGCACGAGGTAGTGATCTTGACTAGATCCTGGGTCAACGGATATAAGCCAGAAGGACCTAATAGGGACAGAGCAAACACCCAAAACAATTTTTTTTAATTTTTCAGAATTTTTATTTATTTATTTTTAAATAATGACTGAACAGCCTGCTATGCCTGTCCTTTGACTTGTGGGCCACCTTCCCAGAGGCAGGGCAGAAAAGCAGCACGGGGACCCTGATGGCGGGGTGAAGCGTGGTCTGCTTCTGTGGTGCATCTCGCTAACCATATATTTCTTTCCATTTTGAGACCCAGAGTTAGGAAGGGGGTCGAGTGGCTTCCTAGTGTAAGGTTCTCGGACGGCAGAAGAGAGGCGGTGTGGCAGACCACGTCGTGCCGATCGCCATGGGCAGGCTGGTGCAGGGCCTCTGGGGAGCAGCCGAGCTGGCTCGGCTTCCCTCCCACTTCGTTCCTTCTGCGCTCCGTGGGGCTGCAGAGAGCCCAGCCGTCCGTCCGTAGGCTCATCCTGAGAGCGCAAGAATTCAGAATGGTTCGTTGCTGTCGCACTCCTTTTCCTTATGTGTTTCTTGCCCTGGTGTGAAATCATTTCAGGTTGTTTTCTGGTTTGGTCTAAATTTGGGGGACCTGGGGCCAGGACAGATCCAAGGCTTCCACAGCCTGCACGTACGTGGAGAGGGGTCCTGAGCTGGAAGGTGTGTCTCACGGCTGCCTGCTTCATGTCCTGCTCTCCCTAGGTCCTCTTCTGTCATCTGCAGTGGCCACACTAAAACACCGGAGTCCTCATGAGAGTTCTGCAGTAGGCGTGTAGTCAGAAGGAAGTCACAAGGGGCCATGAATCCTTTCTAGATCCTAAACCGCCTTGCGTTCCGTTCCAGAGAGACGGGGGGCTGCGTGCAGGCCAGCCCTTGTCCGTTCCTCAGCCCACTCCGCAGGCCGGCTTGCTTTCCCCTCGGCCAGGCTCGGGGTTTGGCGAGGCGTCCGGGCGCTCAGGTGGGGAGGGCACCTGCACAGGATGGGTGGGCCCCAGGCCTGGATTGAGGGGTCCCGAGAGTGAGAGTTAGACTGCGCCCCGAAACAAGGTTCCCAGCTGGGGAGCTTGATGACCTGTGTGCCCTCGCTTGGCCTCTCTGTTCTTTGGGCCTGACTTGCCTGCAGTGGGTCACCAGGCACCGGCCTCCAAAGCAGGCAGAGAGCAGCTCATCATGACGTAGAACCTTAGAACCAGAAGGGGTCTTAGGACATTCTTGTCTGCCTTGCCCAGGTTTCTTAAGTCTGGTTTTGGCTCAAACTCTAGTCCTTTCTTTGTTCCCATTCGGGGACGGATGGGGGGATGATGTTGGAGGACAGTCCTTAGTCTCCCAAAGCACTTCGCTGCCCCTTCCCATCCCTGCGTCGCCCAGTCCGGTCTTCTTAAGGCTGGAGCTCTTTGCTCTGCTCAGGCGTGTTACTGACCGGGTAAGTCCTGGCGCTCAGACGGGCCTGGTCCAGAAGCTCTCTGCCAGCGCCCCCGGCAGGCTCCAGCCCAGGTACTGTGTGCTCCTGGTACTCCTCTCGCCCTTGGCTCTGCCCTCGGTTTTGCCCTCGGTCTGAAGTCCCAAGGAATTTCTCCTCTGTGCATTCTGGTTTTACTGACCTGCTCAAGCAGAGGTTAGGTCCGAGTAGAGCGGAGCAGAGGCTTATCAAGAGGTGGATGGAGGAGCTCAGGTTGGCGTGTGTGAGTGGTCACGGATCTTTCGATCATATTCTCAGGCAGTGGCGCCCTGTCTAGTGCCTCCTCGCGCTGCACAGGCCGGAGGCTCTTCCCCACTGCCCAAGAGAGCCCCCACACAAACTGGGGATCCCCATGGGGAATGAGAGAAGGAGAAGAGAAGTAGGATTTCTGCTTTATTCTTAGGCTCAGGCTTTAGCTTCAGTTTTTTTCTGGAGCATTTTTATTTACTTGTCAAATGGAAGAACGAAGAAGGTTGGAAGTCTGGGTCCGTTTTACTTCCGATACTGGCTCCCGTTTCCCCTCATCTGCTCCCCCCTGCGTGTGCAGGCCAGGAGGAGGCTGGTCCGGAGAGAAGTGAAAGATAAAGGAGGCTTTTTGCCAGGGGTTGTTTTCTTGGCCTACAGGGCAGCTGCAGGGCGGGATGGGATGGGATGGGGGGTGGGTGAGGAGCGGCTGGAACCACACCCTCTTCCTTCTGGGGCCTTTCCTATCTATCCCTCATCTGACTCAAAGCCCGAAAATGCTTTGGCAGCTTGACCTGGGACCAGCTCTACCAGAGGCCCTGGGAGCTGCCTGCCCTGCCCTGTCCCACCCCGCCCCACCCTGCCCTGCCGTTTGGAAGGTGATGTTTCCAAGTCGGACAGCAGGGGGCATGGGTGCCTCCAGACGGAAGGAGGCTGCCTAAGCCAGAAGCCGGCCTATCTGTGGGAGAACATCTCCCCTGCTTGGTGACGGTACCCAGAGGTGGCTGATGCGGACACCATGGGTGTAGGAAGCTCTCTTCCTGCATTGTGCCACACTTGAGCTGAGCCTGTCGGGCTTTCGGGGCGGACAGCAGGGTGCTGAGCCCCGGGGCGCACAGGGTTCTCGAGCATACCTGAGCCTCCCGTACCTACCTCCTTGCTCGCGCAGGCTGCCTCTTGGCAGCCTGCACCTCCCTCCAGTTCGAGTCCCCAGCGCCAAGTGAATGTAATCGTCCCTGGACTGTCTTCCGGGCGTTCAGCGGCAACTGTTGCTTTCTTCATTTTTAAAAATTTATTTGCCATTTCGTGAAAGCCTCTGAGAGGGCCCCACCCCCACCCCCTGCCCCCCAGCCTTGGGCAAGTCGGAGCTGTGGAATCCGGTGTGGATGAGGTCACCTGGACCTCACTGCCTTTTTGTGAAGCCAGCAGAGAGCTTGGCCAGTCACCCACCCACCCCTGGGGCTGTGTCTAGGGCGAGGCCACCCCTGCCTCTACTTAGGGAATGAGAGAGAGGCCTGGTCTTATACCCGGTCTGTGTCCAGTGGTCTGTGTCCAGTGGTCTGTGTCCAGTGTTTCCTCCACCCCCGGGGCCCTGCGCCCACGCTCATGATGGTCGGGCCTGCCTTCCCGGCTCTGCCTCAGCTCTGGTTGAGAAGTATGTTTGGCGCAAGGTGAGTAGTGGTTTTTAAGCCCGTTCCCGTCCAGCCTGAGCCTGTGCTTTCCTTTCCTGACCAGGTGAACTGTCTCGAGCCCCACCCTCACCTGCCTGTGCTGGCAACCAGTGGCCTTGACCACGATGTCAAGATCTGGGCACCCACAGCTGAAACTTCCACCGAGCTGACAGGGCTGAAGGACGTGAGTAGCTGGCCGTGCCCGTCCCGCGGCGTCCTGGCGGGTGTGGGGACGGGTAGCCGCTGGCTGCCTGCTCTTCAGGGGCCCTGCCCGCACACCGCCCCCTGCCTGGCTGCCCTTGGCGCTGGGGGCGTGGTCCCAGCGCGGGTTCCGGGCAGCTGCGGAGCGCGTCCTGCCGTGGGCCGGGCGCGGGGAGGGAGAATCATTCTAGCTGAGGGCTTCCCGGCCTCCCGAGTGGGTGAGCCCGGTGCCTCCTCTCCCGGTGCGGCCTGGCTCCCCCGCAGTGGCGCGGTTCGTCAGGGAGGTTTTCACGGGGACGGAGGGCCAGCCCGGCGGCCCGGGGCTCCCGTTCATGGCCGCCCCGGCCCCGCCCCCTGTTGGGTTCCAGGTGATAAAGAAGAACAAGCGGGAGCGCGATGAAGACAGCTTGCACCACACCGACCTGTTTGACAGCCACATGCTCTGGTTCCTCATGCACCACCTGAGACAGAGACGCCACCACCGGGTAAGCGGCCGTGGGAGGCGAGCTCCAAGGGCAGTGACTCTCTCCAGGGTAAAACAGTTCGGGGCACACTTCCTCGCTACTTTAAAAAGAGATCAGGTGGTTGGGTTGGGTGTCCGATCCGTGGTCGTCCGTCCCACCAGAGCCCTGCCGTGGCCTCGGCAGAACCGCCAGGCGGAACGGGTGGTGTCTGCTTTCTGTTCGCCGTCGCCACGCAGGGAGTGTGTCCTCGTGAGGGCAGAGGCAGGAGCGTGCCGAAGGAGTTGAGAAGAAATAAGTGTCAGGGTGGCCTTCTTTCATCCTTATGCCAGGAGAGGCCGAAGGCAGGGGTTAGCAGACGCTGGCAGTTGGCATGCTGCCTGTTTTTTGCAATAAAGTTTTATTGGAACACAACCATCCCATTCCTTTCTGTTGTCTGCGGCCGCTTCCATGCTGCAACAGCCACGCTGCGCAGTCGCAGTGGGGTTGCGGCCGTGACTCTCGTAGCTCTTATCTGCCCTTGAAGAAAAATTCTGCTGACCCCTGGCCTGGAGCGTCTGGGACAGAGTTAAGACCTAACAGGCTTGTCCTCCTTCCAAGGCAGTTACTAACAGAGCCTTTCCCTTTCTCCAGCGCTGGCGAGAGCCCGGGGTTGGGGCCCCAGACGCCGACTCCGAGGAGTCTCCCAGCTCCTCAGACACATCGGACGAGGACGAGGGCCCCGACCGTGTGCAGTGCATGCCGTCCTGAGGCCTTGTTGCCAGGAGGGGCGGGCCGGGGCTGCTGGCCCGATCCTGCCTGGACAGCCCTTTCCTGTGCCAGGCCCTTCCATCCAGCAGACACGCACTTTGGACTTTTTGCTTTAGATAAAGAGAAAGACATCCCAGGAGAAAGACCAGAGGGGAGCGAACCCGCGGAGTAGCTCAGAGTGGGAGCCACGCCCCGGGATGGGCTCCGTGGAGAGGTGCCCAGGGCTCAGCAGAAATGGCCTCTCCCCAAAGCCTTGTTTTTTGGGAGGGGGGAGCCTATTTTGTTAACTGGTTTGGGGTAGGGAATGGGGTTTCCTTTTCTTTAATCTCCCTTGTTTCTTGGGTGGGGGGTGGGGATAACTGGCTGTTCAGTACCCATGGGCCAGAGTGGGGGTGGTAGGAGTGCCACTCTCTCTCTGGTTTAGGTTTTTGGCCTTTTTTTCTTTATTTTTTAAAAGTCTGTGACAGTTGCATTTCCCCCCCCGAACAACCCCAGCCCAGGATCTTGTTTTCTCTGGGGAGTCCTTAGAGCCCCTGACCGCCCCACACTCTTCACTTTCCTTCCCACCCGTTCACCCTCTGTACTTCCCACAGTGTTTCACACTTGAAGATGACGTGTCCTTCACGCTCTTCCCTTAATCCCGGCACCCTCACTGGGTCTGGTGAGGGGCTGGGGGAGCGGGAGGAGGGGCGGAAGTGGAGGAAGGATAGAGGGACGTGTTACCTCTTCTGTTACTTTTAAAACAAAGTTGTTTGGTGGCAGCACTCTCCTCGCCCTGTCACTGTTAGAGGCCTAATTTTATATCTATAAATATATTAAAAAGCAAGTCAAACTTGGATGTATCACGTTAAAGTTATTGGCAGTTTAAATACCTACATATTCTGACCGCAATAAAGGGACTGAAAAGAGAGCGCAGAAGTAAGGAGGTCGCGGTCGCGCTGGGGTCAGCCCACCTGTGTGTGGCCAGTGGAGATCAGGGCGAACCCCTGAGGTTCTTGGAGGCTCCAGAATGGAAGGAGCCTCAATTTGGCACTTCCTTGCCTCCTGCCACGGTTTGGGGGTTGGGAAAACAGGAAATTCCTTTCCGTTCTTTGCCTCAGCTCGCCTACCTCTCCTCCTGTCCTGTGGGGTCCCTAGGATGGCTCTCCCAGCCGGAGGCTGGCCCGTCTTTAAAACGTGACTGGACTCGGGACTTCGGAAAGGGTGCTGCCGCTGCGGACTGTCCTACCGTATGTGACGGAGGACACGTTCACGCTAGTGTCCGCTGCTTCGTTCAGCCGCCCACCTCCCCCCAGCAGCTCCCTTCCTAGGGGAAGAGCGTTGTCGCCAGAGCCCTCCTGGGCGGCCTTTACAGCCCGTCCACCTCTTGAGAGCTTGCGGTCAAGGGACACGTTGAGGGTGCAGGCGGCTGGGGCTTGGACACGTGTCTCGTCGCCGGTCACGGCTCTGAAAGTCGCAGTTGCGCTCCCGCCTGTTGCTTGTGCTGCTATCTCTCTGCGCCCCATCCCGGAGCTCTGCACCCCAGGGCGGTGCGCTTCTACTAGAACTGGCCGGGAAGGAAGGGAACAGCGAAAGCATGATATTCCCAGACACTCCTTCCTCCCATCCCTTTTCTTAGCACCTGTCAGACCAGATGTGAGTTGCTGCACTTCCACCCTGAGGTAGGCGACGTGTGGCCACAGTGGTCTGCGTTCCCACGGCTGCTGGGGTGAGGGAGTGGCCTAAAAACCGTGCACTCTGGAATTTGTTGTGTATTTTCTCTCAGTAAAGCTTTTTTTTTTTTTCTTTCTGACCACTGTTGTGTGTGATGCGTGGCCCATTCGTTCACGGTGGGCTAGTTTTGTTCCATCCAGTGTAGGTGCCTGGCCCTGTCCTTACTGCAGTTGGAGGCGGCTTGGTCTGTGACCGCCACGTTTCCAGGCTCGGGCTCCAGCTGGAGCTACTGTCCGTGGACTAGGCCCCAGAGCTCTGGGCTACTTAGGGGGCGGGGAGCGGGAAGGTGGCACTAGGTGTTTTCCCGGCCTCTGGTCGAGTCCGCAGGGAGGGACTTGGGGTATTATTTCCCCTCCCTTCCCAAAGGCTCCAGAATCCTTCACAGAAACTCTAGAATTCAGTCGGATGCAGTACAGTCAATCACCTTTATTCCAGGGTTAGAAGGCCGTGCACACTGCAGACAGAGGAGCACAGGATAGGGACGACCTCACAGCCATACGGGGGTGGGAGGGCAGGTTAGTCTTTTTAGATGATTTTTGCCTTACAGAGGTATTCCTAGACTCTGCTGAAAATGACCCTGTCTCCCTTCTCCCATCTCACCCTCTCCGCTCTTCAGAGAAGGCTCCCATCCCTCCCTCTATCTCTCTTTCTCTCTTACACACACACACTCACATCACATAATCCTGACCGGAAGGACGATACGTGCTCAGTCCCCCTCCTCCCAATTCTACCAAGTATCTCTCTGTCCTGGAGGGAGACGCAGACAGGGCTGGGCAGGCATGGGGGGTCCTTTAAGGCAGAGCTGTGGAGTGCTCCAGGTGTGCGTGTTAAGGCAGGTGCCGCAGCAGTGGCCAGAGGGGACGGCGGGGCCGGGCCAGGCCAGCAGCAGAAGCCACTCTCCGGCCAGCCTGGCTTCCTCCCTCTTCCAGCAGCCAGTCTTCCTGTCCCACGTCAGTTTTGCTCCCACATCTTACAAGCTCTGAACTTCAACTTTCTCTAAAAAGTCTCTTGAGATGGCATGTGAATTTAAAGTTTAAAAAAAAATTTTTGTTCATTTTGCCTATGTAGCAACGTGACGGGCCCTCCCTTGGCTGTGGTGTTCCGCTCCCAGCCCCGCCCTGGCCTAGACAATAAGTTAATGCTAGACACCACGAGCAAGGGCAGACATGGCAGTGCGGGTTTAATATACATATATGTAGATATATATGTACACACAGTTAGCACGGTCAGGGTGGGGGGAGCGTCTTGGCACAGGAAGGGGGCTGGGGTCTAGCGATTTGGCTAGGAGACATTCACGAGCCCAACACGCCAGGATATCAAGGGAGACGGGCTAGCAAGTCCCCTCCTGGACTGAACTGGGGGGTTCAGTCCAAAGGGAAAGGCTATAATTAGCTTCTTCCTGTCTTTCCTGCTGGGGGTGTTCCAGACCCCAGAGAAGAAAGGTCACCTGTAGTGACCATGCGGGGACCCTGTGGGTGGGGCAGGGTGGGAGTGAAGACCTAAGGAGCTCATTCCTCAACCTCCCCAGGTTTGGAGTCCGTGTGTGCAACAGTCTGAGTAGGAATAAAGGAGTGGCGAAGAGGGCCCCTCTCGCCCACACCCCCGGCGCCTGGTGCGGTGGGGCCTGCTCCCAGCGTGGGCCCTTAGGGGTGCGGGGGGAGTAACTAGTGCTGGCTGCTCCGTGGAGTCCGGACTTCGGGGCCAGGGAAGGGTCCTGTGGTCCTCTCACTAGATCTTCACTAGATCCCTGGCTCATACCCATCCTAGGCCCATAGGCGGGGAGGAGAAAGGGACCTGCTGGGGCCCAGGCCCTCCAACCCAAGGAACATCTAGAAAAGATCCCTCTGCCGGTCCAGCACAGGGTACAAACGCGGAACTCTGGCTTTTCTCTGCGCCTTCCGGGTGGCGGCTGGGTGACCGCCTTCCCTCCCACTGCTTGTCACTAGACGCACCCACCTTGCCCCACGCTTTACCGCCAGCTCAGCTCCGCGGTGTAGGAAAATACAGGTCCTTTCTGCTCCCACACTTCAGCCGCAGAGGAAAGGGCAGTAGGAGGAATGTGCCCATTTCTATTTGCATAGAAATAGCCCCCACGTCCCCCTAAAGTGGGGAAACGAAGCCCCCCCCAGCCCGACCCCCACCCCCTCACGAGGAGGAGGAACTAGATGAGCTAGACATAGAGACAGACAGAGCGTGCGCACACGCACACACACGCGCACAGTAAGGGGGTTAGGACCAGGTTAGTAAGTGGGTAGACTGGGGGGTGGCCCTTGCCCCTCCCCTGGAGGCTGGGGGAAGGGAGTGGTCCGCTGAAGGTCCAACCTTCCTCCTCTCCTCCCCCTCGCTCAGGCTTTCTTCGGTGGCGGAGCCAGCTTGATGATCTCTTCCTCGGAGGGCTGCCGGATAATGTCTGGGGGGGAAGAAGGGATGTGTCCAGGGACAGAAGGCAAGCCCCCGACGTCTGCTCCCATCTGCCCCAAATCAAGCGCCCCAAGGACCAGCCAGGGGAGCGGGCAGAGGTGCATGTTAAAGGCGGCTCCTACCTTTGTACTTCTTGGCACTGGGGATGCGGGTCAGCTTGGTGTCCAGCTCCTCCTCCTCCGAGATCTTCAGAACACGGGTTCTGTAGTCCACCACCATGGTGAGCAGGTCGGGGCGGCGGGAGATCTCAAAGATGTGCTCGATGTAGGAAAGGTTGTCTGGAGGGAGGCGGGAGACAGGGTCAGCCAGGCTGAAGAGGCCAGCCTCCCCGCGCGAGCGGACCGGGCTTCTGGAACCGCGGCGGACGTGCTCACGCTGGTTACTGGAGGGGGCAGCACGAGAAGAGGACAAGCTACTGAGCAGGACCAGAAAGCCAAGGCCCCGGCGGTACAGAGGACTGTGCAGGAGAGCAGGGGGTTGGCCAGGGAGGTTTCAAAGGGGTTCAGGCTAAATAGGTCCCCGTTGTGGGGAGGGAGAACAGAAAAATGAGTCGGTACCCGATACCCTACGCCCACCCCGTCGCCCACCCGGGCCCCCTCCCGCTCTTCCTCCAAGTCGGAGTCGGAAAAATTTCCTGCTAGCGCATGCGGGACCTGCGGGAGTCTCTAGACAAGGCCCCCGTGTGGCCAGAAGGACATTGTCCGTGGCTGGGCCGCTTCTAGGAGACTGGGGACACCCTCAGTCCCTCCCACCCACCCCCACCCCACTCCCCTCCGACTGCTGCAGGTGCCTCCTCCCAGGGCCGGGTCCACCCCAGCCTCCCTGCCTGCTGGCCCCCCGAGGCCTCAGCTGGCTCCCCCGCCTACTCGAGGCCCTCCACGGCATAGCCTTAACCAACCTTTCCAGCCACTTCGGAGCTCACTCAGGCCCCAGCCAAGCTAAGCAGGACCCCTTGCTCTTCCGGACGCACCAGACACTCCTGCCTGTGGGACTCGGGTCCTTTGCCAGGCGGGCCCTCCTCTGGACCCTGCCTTTGAAACCACTCTCCTTCGTACGCCAGCTCCCCGCCCCCAGCCCTTCTCAGAGCAGCGGCCTCTGCAAGTGCCTCTGAAAATGTTAGAGCTCGCGGTTTTAACTTTTACCACTTCTAACTTGTACTTTACTGTTCTGTGACCTGATGATCTGTACCACGTGACTCGTCACAACACAGTAGTATCTGAGCGCCTCGCGGCTTACCGACGCGCCCCGGGAGGGCCGCTGTCCCCGAGCGGAGCTCCGCGCTCGGCCTCTCCCGGCCTGTCCGAGAGCGGCGTGCTTCTCTTCGCCCAAGGGACTGAGCCCGAGAGGCTGGGGACCCCCGCCCCACCCACCTTTGTCCAGCTTGTTGTGGCTCTCCAGGAAGCTGAACCAGGCACTGCCTGTAGTGATCTCCTCGCTCTTCTCGCTGGGAATGTCCTCCTTGCAAGCCGACTTGAGCTGCTCCAGGTCTTCGAGGGTGATGTTGTTAGTCAGGTCCTGCAGGAGGGTCCCGTACTCGGCCATGACTGGGGTTGGGAGGAACAAAGGGAGAGGCCGTGGAGCTGGAGGCGCCAGTAAGGTTTACTCGCTGGTCCCTCCCACCAGCATCCCCGCTCTGGGGGGGGCCGGGGGGCGGTAAGGCGGGTGTAGGCCAACAGGGAGGCTGGGGAGGGCTGGGCTGGAGGGGAGAAGGGCTCAGGGTGGTGGCAGTGGACAGGAAGAAACAGAGAAGCTAGGGTCCAGGCTCCAGCCTAGAGTGACAAGTCACACCTCCTTACCCCCATCTTTTTTCCTCATTACCCCCCCAACAGTAACCCTGGCAACAGCTCCCCTGACTGAGGAGGCGGTTACCATAGCAACCTGCTCCAGACTTTCTCACCCGCTGCCTCCATGGCCCCCCCAGAATCGCCCCACCCACCTGCAACCCCTCCCCCTGTCAAAAAAAAAAAAAAAAAAAAAAAAAAGGAAAGAGAAAACACTCCAAAACAACCGTCAGGGAGAGACTGGCTGGCTGTGGCAGTGAGAAGCTCAGAAGGGACAGGAGGGGGTTGGATGGCTGGAGCTCATGTGTTCTAGCTTCCGTTCTTCCCCAGAAGCAAAGTGGACCCTCACTCTCCGCGCCCCACCGCCTCACTAATGACTCGTTCTGGACAGCTGCCTAGGTGCTTGGTCTAATGGTCCCCTGGCCCCTCCGTGGCTCCCTGCATTCAGTCCTCGGGGCTCGGGTGGGCGGGGAGGGGGAGGCAATGAGCTCCCCCCGCCAACCTTCGTGCAGCCCGGTTTCTCCCTTGACCGCAGCCGGGCCTCCACGCAGCCCCTCTCCCAGCCTTTGTGCTGTGCCCACAGCCCCCGCGCCCAAGAATACCAAGCGGCCGGCGCTGGCCCCCTGCCCAGTTCCCAGGCTGGCTGGGTGGCAGGGGAAGGGGTTTAGCGGCGGGGCTGGGAGAGTGGCAGGAGAGGGGCTGCTGCTCCTGCTTGTGTCACTGTCAGGAGGGCCTCCCACAGGGGCTGGGCAGGCCTGGGTCTCATCGGCCTTGAGCCCATCCCTGTCGCGGGGAGATCTCCAGGCGGGAAGGGAGAGAACACGCAAGGCCGTCCTGGCACTCACGGGTAGAAAGCATGTTTAAGGCAGGAAGAAGGCAGGTCAACCTTAGAACGAGCCTTCCGGATGGGATAAAACGTGAACTTCACCCACAACAAGGAAATATTTCTTTTATAATCAGAAAAGTAAAACATTTTACAAAGTAAGTTATATCATAAACACTGTGGCTAGACCAAGGGCTGGGGCGAGGAGCCAGATGACCTTGTACTTGACTGAGGCTGCCCCCACACCTCCCCAGCAGTGGGCTGGGAATGCAGCAGAGCGCAGGGGGCATCTGGCCTAGATGCAGAGAAACTGAGGCAGAGAAGTCCCCGTTCCCAGCCCCCTACTTGGGCCAGAACAAACACGCCTCCCTCCGTGGCAGGCACCGTGACACACACACAATGAGCCAGGCAGCAGGGCCAGCGGGACCCCCTCAAGAAGCAGGCACTCCCAGGCACGCTCACTTGCACACCCAGGTGCAAGCAAACAGAAGGGCCCAGCGGTGGCCCTGCCAGGCTCGGCCGGAACAATGCTCTCTGGACTGTCAGCACCAGGAACCGTCTCCGCCTTGAAATCTAGGTCAGAGCAGCAGGCTCCCGAGCCCAGCCCCCCACCCCACTGATAATCCCCGCCAGGAAAGGGGGAGGTGAAGGGGAAGGGGCCCAGGCATGAGGAACTAATGGGGGGTGGGGAGAGCTTAAAAGGAAGGGGGAGCAGGGGGCCCTCAAGAACACCCTGCCCCCGGGGAAGAGACCCTGGGAGCAAGCCCTCAGCTGGAAAATGGGGCAGCATTTAGGGTCAGCCTGTCCTGTTTTCACGTGGAAGAAGAGACTGTAACTAGATCCTGGGGAAGGAAAGTGTGTGTGCACGCGTGCGTGCGTGCGTGCGTGCGTGTGTCTCCTGGAAGGAGTTAAGGTTTAGGGCTCTGAATCGAAAACACAGACTTCCAGGGGCGGTGGCGGGGAGGGATTAATGTGTGAGTGAACCACCCACATCGGCTGGGGGCGGTGGGCAGGCGCTTTCGAAGAGCATGAGGCAGACACAGTGAGACCCCCAGGAGAACGGGGGTGGGGAGGCCGAGTGGTGAGCCAGGCCCGCGAGGCTGCTGCCCCCGCGCGTGGGCACGGGTGTGTGGAGGCGGCAGCGGCGGGCATCTGTGCGGGCGTGTGCACGCTCTGGCATGGGTGTTAATGTGTCAGCACTGGACGTGCGGCAGTGCAAGTATGAGCTGTGTGTGTGTGTGTGTGTGTGTGTGTGAGAGAGAGAGAGAGACAGAGAAACAGTGAGACCGTGTGCAAGGTCTGTAATCACAGGCTCCCATCCAGAGAAAAGGGGAAGGGTGAGGAGACCCTGCAAATTGGAGGGAGGGCTGGGGCTGGGAAAGGGAAGGAGGCGGCAAATGAGATCCTGGGGGGAGGGCCCCGGGACTCAGCGGTTACCACGGCAACCGGAGTTCTGGGTGCCCACCCCACCACCGGTCAGGACAATGACACCCCTGGATGGGAGGGGCGTGGGGAGTGAGTAAGAAGGGACAGAAGCAGGGGAATGGGGCCCCCTGAGGAAGGGGGGAAAGGCAGCCTGGTTGTGGCTGCAGGGGCAAGGCCAGTCCCTTGGGGGAGTTTTGGGGGTACAAGGAAGTGGCTCTCTGGTCTCACTGATCTGTCATCATCGTCCCTGGAGTGGTGTGGCTGTGGCGGAGCTGGGCCCCGTCACCCTCCCTGGTCCTCTCCTCCCAGAGATTCAGAATTCCTCCGGGCCTATGTGAAGTCTCCTCCCCTCCTCGCCTAGAAAAGTCTTCCTGATTGCTGGAGCAGAGCAAGGCGGCCTGGGGAACACCAGGCAGCCTGGGCGGAGGCCATTCTTGGGACAGGATACCAGGGCAGGAACCGGGGACCGGAGCTGAGGCTGCCAGGAAGTCGGTCCCCTTCCCTCCCGGATCATTCTGTGCTCTGCTCACGGCTTCCTCACACCTTCCTTCCTTCCTGCCTCCCTCTCCTTCCCAGCTGGCCCCAGGTGGAGCCCTGACAAAGGTGGGACCAGCCGAGGGTGCTGGGGGAGAGGGGCAGGAGGTCAGAAGTTCACAGACTGGTCTCTGGGGGTGGGAGCTGGGAGCGGGACAGGTGGGTGGTCTGTCCTCTCTGCCCCCCCAGCACCCTAGCCCAATGGGACAGCCACCTGTGCAGGAGGCTCCGGCATTTGCTTCAACTTGGAAGAAAGCCTGAGGATTAGGAGCCCTGGCACCCCTCCCTCCCTCCTCTCTGCTTGGGGCTACCTGGGCTACCTGCTGTGGAGGGGAGGGCTAGCCCACGCAGGTGCAGGGGTCATGCTGCCTGGGTTCAGGGGTGGGGCGGTGATCCGGGAGAGGCAGAAGAGTGGGTGGGGAGAGCACAGGGTGCCCATTTTAAAGTCTACCTGGGCCCCCCTGGTTCAAGCAGTCCTCTAGTTCGTCCCTAATTATTCCCTTAACAGCACACTCTGCTGGCTTCTTCCCTTAGCTTCCATTCAGCTTTTTTTTTGGGGGGGGGGCAGGGAATGTTTTTATTCTGTAATAAAGGAAGGGGCTCTAAGACTCAGCCAGCCTGGGAGTGAGGGGAGGCAGGTACCTGGGCCTCAAAATGTTCAGTTCAGTCCAAGAAGCAAATGGGTGAGCCCGGGGCACAGAGACGGTGCTAAGCCTTCAGCCCTTAGTGTAAGAAGAGAGAGATGGATCCAAGGTGGGGGTGTCGGGAGACCCCCGCACGGGGTCAGGCCTGTCCGGCCTGCGGGCTCACCACTGGGTTGGGGGGGGGCTCTCCTCCTCCCATTAGTTTCCTTCCCATCTCTCCCCCCTCGTCCACCTCCTCCCTCCAGTCTCTCTTCCTCCTTCCCCTTCGTTGGGCTTTCAGCCTATCTCATGTGGGGGTAACCCTGAATACGGAGGGCTTCTGGGGCCTGTGACTCGGTGTCCCCATCTGAACACTCAGGGCCACTGTCCGACTGGGAAGGAACGGGCTTCCCGGCTGTAAAGGGATCTTCACTTTGGTGGGGAAGGGCCGAGTCGGTGGGTGGTGTGGGAGGGTCTGTAGGAAAGGGGAGGGCCGGCAGGAGGGACGCGTGGCCCTCTTCATGCATGACGGTCCACGCACACGGGATGGACACAGGTGTCAGGGAAGTGAGGAACTGGGCAACCAGGCCAGCGGCCAGCCTAGGGCATCCCTGGCAATTTCCCCAACGGAGTGTTTAGCCACAAAGGGAAGAGCAATTAAAGCTAATCGCTCTGACAGCCCAGGGGCCAGACTCATCGAGAAACAAAACCCCCGTATTCAGCATGTTTCCCGGCTCCCCGAGGTCTCACGCCATGCTGCCTTCACCCGCGCTCTGAGCCTGGGGAGCCCAGCCCCCAGCCCTCTTCCCACGGCTCTGGCCATCTCTGTGTCGTTTCCTCCCCTCCCGTCCCCGACTGCGTCCCTGTCCCTCGCACACATTCCCCTCATTCTCTCCCTCCCCGACTTGGGCTCCATCCTCGGCTGACTCATACTCATTCTTTTTCTCCCTCTCCTTTTCTCCCACCCCCTCCTCCGTCCTTTGGCCACTCCGGGGCTCAGAAACCAGCCAGTCGCAGCACCCTAGGCTCTAAGTGGACCCTGCGAGAGAGGCCACGGGCAGCCCCCGACCCTCCCCACCGGCGCAGGCTTCAGAGCACCGGGCAGGCTCCCTGGCGCCGCCGGATCCTGTCCCCGTCCCGGAGCGGAGCGAGCAGGACTTCCTGCCGTGTCTCCCCTGTGTTGGCGAGCGGGGCCCCCCGAAGCGCAGGGCTGGGAGAATCTGCCCAGACAATCGGGGTGGCAGGGGCCCCGGGCCCCCACCCAGCTGTCCTGCGGACGGATGTTCCTCCGGGAGGCACATGGAGGCAGCGGGGGGAGGGGACGTGTAGTGCCGGGACGGCCGTGATTTGCTGCGGGCGACGCGGTGTGTGTAAGAGTCACATGGGCGTGTGTCACCGTGTGTGCTGGCGTGTCTCTCGTAGGTGTGTGTGTCCCCGTCAGCTCCGACACGGGGCGTACGGAATTAACGGAGCTTTCACGTCGGCCCCCCGCCCCCCAGCGCCCGGCCCCCGACCCCGGGTCGGCCGATCCCCGCGCCGGCGGTGGGGGGGGGGCGCTGGCCGCGCGGGAAGCGGGCTCCCGCCGAGGCCCCGGGCCCGGCCACGCAGCCCGGTCCGCGGACGCCCCCCGACCCCGGCTCGCCGCCCCGCCGCCCCCCGGCCCGCCTCTCACCGCCTCGGGCTGAGCGCTCAGGGCGCGGCTCTCCGGCGTCCCGGGTCCTGGGGCAGCGTCCGGAGCCTCCGCCTCGGCTCCCGCCGCTCCTGCCGCCGCCGCCGCCGCTTCCGCCCGCCGAGCCCGAGCCCGAGCCCCGCGCGCGCCCCGCCCGGCCGGCCGGTGACGTCAGCGCCGGGGGCGGGGCGGGGGGCGGGGGTTCTGGAAGGCTCGCGGGTGGGCTGCCGGGGGCGCCGCCCGAGCCCCGGGACTGCGGGGCGGGGCGCGGCTGCCGGGGGCGGGGGGGCGGGGGGGCGCGGCTGCCGGGGGCGGGGGGGGCACGTCCTGCCCTGCGCCCCTCTGCGGACCGCGGCGGCGGGGACCCCGGGGAGCGCCGAGCGGGCGTTTGGGCCTTCGGAGGGCCTTGGGCCTTATCCTCCTAGCGGGCCGACTTGTGTTGGGGGAACCTCTTTCCTCCCCTTCTGGGTCGGGGGACCGGTGGCGAGGGCCCCAGGGACCGCTCCGACTTTATCCACTTTGGAGGGCCGGGGTGGAGGCGAGGGTGCGGGCGGGAAGCAAAGTGGGGCCTCCTTGCCTTGACCTGGAGCCCAGATCTTGTCTGCTCTCTCTCCTTGGGGTGATGGCCCCTGTGTTCCTCTCACCTTTCCCGAATATACCGCCCTCCTGCCTTCCCCCCACCATGATGTAATTTTATTTTCTGGGGAGGAAAAGAGCAGCAGTGAGCTCAGCATGCAAATATAGACATCTCGCAAAGCCACACTTAGCTCCTGCTCCTCGGCTGCCTCTCTGCCCAGGCCCCCCACGGCGGCTCTCACTTCCTCTCCACCCCAGGGACTTTCCTCCCCCAGATTCTCAGCCAGACTGAAAGAGGGAAGGAAGAAGTGGGGAAGGATCTGTCCGCACCCCCTTTCCCGCCCGAGGGTCCTTGCTTCCACTCTGGCAGAGTCTGGCCCTGGGAAGAGGTCCGAGCCCCAACCTACGCCACGGCCAGGATCGCCCTGGCCTCCCCTCAGTTCTGGCCCAGTAGACACCCTGTCAGAAAGCCTCAGGTGAGCCCCTCCTTTCTTGGTCTACACTGCGCCCGAAGACACTCAGGCTCCTGCTGCTTCTCCGTGCTCTACAGCGACTCTCCCCATCACCACCCTCTGGGAGAGACCACCTCGTCCTCTGCTCACGTCTGTCTCTTATCACTGGCCCCTTGAGGAGACCCAGAGAAACGGAAGGACTTCTGGACAGAGACAGGGTCAGGTCTCCCTGAGGCCGCAGGTGCAGGGGACCTGGGCTTCGCACGGGCCCCGCCCCTTTCTCGTGCTGGGTCTACCTTGGACTCTCAGTGTCCCCACCGGTGACATGGAGATGCTGACGTCCACCTGGTTCTCCTGAGACTTGGAAATCCTAAGTGTGTAAGGACTGGCACAGGTGGGCGCTGGAACCTACGGTGACTGCTACATCTGGGGCCTTCTGCTGACCGACACTGGACGGTCAGCCCCCCGTTGGCCTTGTGTTAGTTGGGTAAACACGCTGTTTCTGCTCAACACGCTTCTGCCTCCACTGGGAGCACTTCCTGGCTTTGTCTCTGAAGGGTGACCCGCGTGTCCCCTCACGTCTCCCTCGGCACCGAAGCAGCCCACCCGCTGCTACCCAGGCCCCACGACTGCTGTCCCGTCTGGGAGCTCTGGGCGTGGTCCGTTCCTTGGCTCCCCCACACCACGTCATCTGACCCCCTGCCACGTACACCGGCCTGGGCGCTGCTGGGGAGAGGGTATGTCCTTCTTGCCAGGAGCCTTGGCAGCCCGGGTCTGGGGTCGGGATGGGAGCCCTGGAACGCAGAACTCTGTGTCTCCTCTTCATCCCACGGCCACCGCACAGGGCCACACTCTCCCAACCTCTGAAGGGCTCCGACTGTGAGAGCCCCCCCACCAAACTGCTGTCTCCGTCCTCCCCTCCCTCTGTCCATCCGGCTCATCACTGCCACATTTAAGCTGTGTCCTTCCTTCCAGCCCCCAGGTTTAAAGTCGAACTTCTTTGCATCCTGTGACGTCCCCCCATTCTCATGGCCGCCCCTTGAGGTTCTCTTCTTTCCTCTCCTGTCTCTTCTGCACCCCCTGTGGGACACTCACATTCTACTCATGCTTTTGATGCTCTCCACTGACGGGAACGTCCCTTCCCTGTCTCCTTCGCCCTGTCAAACCCCATGGTTCACTGAAGGCCTAGAAAGTGCTCCTTCCCAAAGCCGTCAGAGCCCGCTGGGGCCTCTCTGTCCTGACCCTGTGTGTTCCTTCCTTCCTTCTGTTAACAGACATTTGTTGGCGGCTCGCCTCTTGTGTGCCAGGCCCTGGGGGGCACAGAGGAGAAGCCTGGCCTCCTGTCTTCAAGCACCCCCGCCCCCACCCCGCAGTCCGGTGGGGAAGAGGGACCTGTCCGGGGAGGGTGAGGGAGCACTGGACTGGAGACGGAGAGAGTGGCCCGTGAGCCCGGAGGAGGGAACCGCAGCAGCCGCCTCTGAGAAGGCCTCCCTGAGAAGAGTTGTTTGGGTTCAGTCCTGCGGGTTCCAAGAAGAGCTGCAGGGAGGGTGCGATCAAGCAGCACATAATCACTTAATTACGTACTGCTTTGTGCTCGGCTTCAGTTGTTGGGCTGCTCGTCTTGACTTCCCAGCGAGGCTAATCAGCTCGAGAGCAGGGACAGGCCCAGCACACCCCGTTCTCCAGAGCCTCCCAGCGGTGCTGGACAAACACCACGTGTGAGGGGAAAGCTTGTGCACTGGTGGCACATAAACAGTCCTCTCTCCTCTGGGATGACCGCCTGGAGGGAGCGCCCCCATCCTGATGCCCTAACGAGGTCCGGACCCTCAAGCCCCCGTCCTGGGGCTGCCTCTCCCCAGCAGACACTTGCTCATGCTGCCCCAGATCCTTTATTGAGGGCTCCTGATATCTGACCCAAATTCATTAACAAGAGATAACCGAGAGCCCCAGACAGGGGGCACGCCCTTCCTCCTGGCCAGGAATCAGGCCGCCAGAAGGATGGAGGATTTGAGAGTGTGGGGAAGATCGTGCACAGGTGAAGGGAACCAAGGAGAAGAGAATCAGAGGGAAGAGTATAGGGAATGGTGAATCAGAGCAGGGGGAATGGGGAAGGAAACGGATCATGGTGGGAACGGATCGTAGGAACAGGGCTGCCAAGGGACAGGAGATGGCCGGCGGAGGTGGCTGGGCTGGTGCGTGGGGATGAGCAGGTCCTGGCCTCGTGGGGCAAAGGTCGGGGTCTCAGCACTCAGCATAGGGCCTCCCTACCGCAGAGGATGGCCCAGTGTCCCCAGAGGAGCCCAGGGAGGGACAGGGTTGGGAGGGAGCCCAGGGAGAGTGGCTGGGCTGGGAGAATGAGGCCACAGCCGCTAGTCATCGTCGTCGTCATCGTCGTCGTCGTCCTCCGTGTTGATCTCGCCTTCCAGCACGTCCTCCAGCCAGTCCTCCAGCTCCTCCGCGGACGGCAGGTCCTCCTCGTCGTCCATCTCCATCCACACGCTGTCCGCCTGGGGTGAGGCACAGACAGGGGACCGGAGCTAAGCCCGACTCGGGTCTGCAGACCTGTCCTCTCCCCTCACAGGGCTCCCTCCATCCTTCCCTACATCCTCTGTCCCTCCCCTTCACCTGTCACCGGCCAGGGACGCTATCCAGGTGAAGGTCTAGGTGGGAGGGGTGACGGGGTGGGGGACAGGGTTGGCTGGGTTGGCCTCTGATGGGGAAGCGCAGGTGGCCAGAGAGCCAGGTCAGCCACCATTCAGCTTCTCATAACCTGCTTTTCCAGCCCTGTTTGCAGAAGCCTCTGGTCTTGCAAGCTATAAAAAAGGACTTGCCTTTTCCAGAACCTGATACTCATTTTCCTACTTTTGACCTTTCACACTAACTTTCCCGTTGGTTTGGAAAGACTCATCATCAACCCCGTGAGCGTCCGGCCTCCTCCAGGCCGCCCGGTCTCCACGTTCAGGGCCACTCCTTCGAAACCCTTCTCTCCGATTCTCTCCGGCAGAAGCTGCTTTGATTTCTGGGGCTTCCTAGCATTTTACGAGTCTCTTTGTAATCGAGTTTATAAGATCTGGCTGTGTCGTTAACAAAATACCTGCCTCCCTGGTCACAGGGAGAAGGGGATGAGTGCAGACTGGCTTACTCCGCTTGCCAGAGCAGACTTGCCGAGGCCACCGGCTGTGTGTGAATGAGCTTTCCGCCCTCCAAGAGCTCAGAGTCTACCCGAAAGGGGAAAGGCGGGCGTGATGCAGAGATAGGGGAACCGAAGTCCCGTTAGCAATGCGACATGGGCTCTGGGGTGCCGATGGCGGGGCCTGACTCCAAACGGGAGATCTGGAGAGGATGGTGGGTCAGGCCTGGAAGGAGGAGGGCAGGGGGCTGTGTGCTCAGACTCTGAGTCTCTGGGCGTGTCTGACTTCTGGGGGGGCGGTCGGCGGAGCAGGGAGAGCTGGATGGGCTGGGAAGCAGAGCTGGGGGGCAAGCGGGGCATGGGGGAAGGAAACTCACATCGGTGACGTTGACCACGCCTATCTGTGGCGCTGACAGGTCGATGTCAAATGTCTTCTCCCAGTAGGGCACCAGCTGTGGAGAGACCACATACGGTAACGAAACAGCGTCTGGAAACACGTGTGTCTAGCACGGGGAGTATAGAGGGTCAGCCTGGGGACAGGGGAAGGTCACTATGAACTCATGCTGGAGGATGGGGGACGGTCCCCCTGTGGGGCCTGAAGGGAAGGTGTAGACGGGAGCAGTGGCGGGTAAAAATCCCAAAGGGAAACTATCCGGAAGGGTCAGCTGAAGACACTGGCCCAGACTTTCCCAGGAAAACTGGATCAGAACCTGTGTTCCGATCCTGGCTCTGCTACCACCTGATCTTGCGACTTTGGGCAAGTCACTTCTCAGGGACCCTCGGGCTCTGCATCTCTAAACTGAGGCCGTTGTCCCCAGTAATTGCCAATGTTCCTCACGTATCTGTTCATTCTGCTGCTCCTTCAACGACGAATTCGAGTGTTGGGGATCCGGCTAGGAACAGAGCTGTCCCCTGAGGCACGGACTCTCCCCACTTCCAGTCTGTGATTCTGTAGAACTGTTTGCAGGGTTCATGGGCCCACTTGCCCCCCAACACTCTGTTTTTTTGTAGAAGGGGTCAGGCCCGGGCACACGAGCTCCCTGCTGCATCTCTGCTCTGGGCATCGCGTGTGCTATGTTCCATGAGATTTACTTCCCATCCTGTCTCCCCTTCTCCAGGTGACTTCCGTGCCCACCGTGCCCTTGAGCACCAGCCGTAACCCCCCAAGGTCCTCAGGCCGGAAGTCGGGGACAGAACCCTGACAGCAGGTCCTCTCAGGAAGGGTGACGGCGTCAGGTCCTGCCCCGGGGAGAGCCGAGCCTCTTACCAGGGGGAAGTCGTCAGGGTCAATCCAGATGATGCTGAGGTCGGGGTTTTCAGTGTTATCTTGGGCCACAGACTTGAGCGTCTCCAAGAACTCGTAGCCATCTAGGAGGGAACACGAGTAAAAAGCGGTAGGTGGGACAGGGAGGAAAGGGAGGCGGGGCAGCCGGTGTCCGGGCGCTCCCCTCCTCCCACCATCACTGCTGCCTCACCCCAGGGTCCCCGCACTCCCAGGAGGGCCTCCCACTGAAGCCCGAGCTCTCACATCTCACAAGCACCCCTGTGTCCCCCAACCACCAGCACCACCACCCCCAAACAGCGTCCATCCCTCACCTGGATCAGCTTCCTCTGCAAAGGCCACAATGTGGATTCCGTCCATGTCGTCCTCCTGTTGGGGACAGCGTGGCTTAGCTATGCTTCTTGAAGTTTGAGAGCCACGCGCACGCTGCCTCCTCCTGGAGCCTGAATTTCGTGGAACCCCAGCTCCTGGATTAGGTACGTTCTTGTGGCGGCAGCCCCGGGGACGCAGATGGCTTGCCTCCCCTAAAGGGCCCCCGCGTCCCCTCTAGCCAACTCTGCAGCCCCAGATCTCCTTCCCTGTCATCTGTGTCAGGGTCTGTGTGTCTCCTAATTCCTGGCACGTTCTTAAGAGCAACAGCCTCCAAACTCTGCTGGTGTTTGGTCTTTCCTGCGAGCCAGGCACGGAGCGCAGTCGGGCGGGAACTTTCCGGGACTTCCGTCCTCAGCCACCCACGCCCGCCCTGGGGACCCGGCCCCGTCGGGCGGAGACACTCACCCACGTCTCATACATACTCTCAGGCTTCAGCTTCCTCAGGGTGGACCTAGAAGAGACGGTAACGACTCAGTGGGCGAGAAGGATGCCCCCCAAGAGGGTTTTGGGTCAAGCCTAGGGCACAGACAGCTTGTATGCCAGAGCAAAGCCATCTGGCAGTGTCTAAGCTCCGGGCTGCAGGCCCGGGTCACCGCCTGGTTAAAGCAGGTGGGAAGGCAGCAGGTGGGCCCGTGGCCTGGAAGATAGTCTTTGGGAGAAAGGCGAGAACGGGGTATCTGGGCATTCCCTCGTTCATCCAGCACAGCCGAGAGTCTGAGATGTTCTGGGCACTGTGCAAGGCGCCGTAGAGGTGTTGTGACTGGCCCTCCCCGACAAAAGGGACCGTGATCTAGCGGGAGAGGGTGAGGGGAGCGGCATCTCCACGGACATGAGGGGACGCCCCCAGCGGTGGGGAGTGGCAAAGGAAGAAAATCACCGTGTGGGAGTGAGGGCAGGGTCCCAGCCTCAGGCTGGAGAATTTTCTGTCGTGGGGTGCAGTCTGGCATGCCCTGGAGGGTTAGAAGCGTCCCTGCTTCTCCCCACCAGACAGCGGTAGCTCTCTCCTCCATCAGAAATGCCGGTGTCCCCTGGAGGGTGAGAGTCTCCCGCACATGGCCCGTCCCTCCACCAGGTCACCCAGGTCGAGAAACAGTGGTGCCCAGATCCGGGTCAGGATCCCGTTCTGACACATCCTACGGGTGGGACCCGGGTCCCTGAGCTTGTTGGGAGGATTAAAAACAACAGCAGAGGGCTGCCTGGGTGGCTCAGTGGGTTAAGCCTCTGCCTTCAGCTCAGGTCATGATCTCAGGGTCCTGGGATCGAGTCCCGCATCGGGCTCTCTGCTAGGCAGGGAGCCTGCTTCCTCCTCTCTCTCTCTCTCTCTCTCTCTCTGCTTGCCTCTCTGCCTACTTGTGATCTCTGTCAAATAAATAAAAACTTTAAAACAACAACAACAACAACAACAACAGCGGAGTTGGAAGGCCCCTGGCCGAAGCTGGTCTGTGTGTGAGAGTGGCCGCCATGCCCAGGACGGCATTCATCTCGCAGCCAGACCAGCTTCTTGGCTGGCGGGGACCCCCGGCCCCTCTGGCGCATGGGCGTAGAGGCACTAGGTGGTGCCACCCGGCTCAGGGGCGCCCCTGCTGCCCACCTCCTGTGCTCCTCCACGAAGCTGACAATCTCCTCTTTGCTGTTGGGCTTGTCTGGGATGGTCACAGGTTCTTCCATGAAGGCCTCATAGAAATCGATCTCATTCAGCTTCAAGGTCAGCTTCTTTGCCACCTGGCAGGGGAGGGGGTGGGGGATGCGCGTCATGGGGAGCAGATCTTAGGGCGGAGGTCAGACGACCTGGGCCCATGTCGCTGCCACTGGACAATGGACAAGGTATCTGGGCTTTGGTTGAACCCTAGAGGAGTGGGTTAAAGGGTCTAAAATCTTTGGGGCAAGAGAGAGAGGCCCGAGGTGGGGATGGTGGTGTCATGTGTGACCAGGTCCCCCCACAGATTCTGGGAGAGAGGTCCGGAGGGCAGTTGCAGGGAGCGAGGGGACCTCCGTATGGCCACAGGAGGAAGACCTTGCTGTCGAAGGTGGCGAAGAAAGGGATGTAGGGGTGAAACTCTTCTGCCGCGTCCTCGAAGGCCTTGTAATCTGAAGGAGTAAGACAGAGTCAGTTTCTGGGGGAGCCAGTGTCACTCTGTCTCTCCCCAAGTCTCCTTTGGCCGGAGGGGTTCCTCTTAAGACCCCTCCAGTCCTCTAAGAGCAGCAAGACTTCAGTGGGGGAAGTTGGGGGGCGGGGGTCCCTGTCTGGGAGTCCCAAGTGCAGGGAGGTCAGAGCTGTGAGGGAGCTGACCACGCCAGGGGGTTAGCTGCAGAGACGTGGAGACAGTGGGTGGAGTGGGGGTTAGGGAGATGGGTAAAACGGGGGTCCACAGAGAGACAGGGGCTCTGGGGGTTACGCACGCTCAGAATCTTTGTTCTTGAAGTAGCCAATGAGTTTGATCTCGTCCTCGATGTTCTCAAACGCCTGCAGCTCGCGCTCGCCTTCTATCAGTTCCACGGGGTCCTCTAGGACCTGGAGGAGGGCGAGGGGTCTCCTCACTGGAAGGAGCCAGGGAGGGATGAGGGACGCAGGGGTGGGAGGGAGGGAGGGAGGGGCTGTCTCCTGCCTGGTGAGTGTGTGTGCCCGCGTGTGTGAGCATGTGCGGGCGTGTGAGCGCATGTGTGCGTGTGCGAGGCTGGGCTTGGTTGGGGATGGGTGTGAAGTCTTAAAGCGCGGCCACGGGGTCCGGGAGAGCCTCACATCGAGGAGAAACTCCACCAGGGTGTCTGCGGAGAGCTCGCCGTCGTACTCGATGACCTCATCTCCCTTGAACACGTAGATGCTGTCCTCTTCTGTGAGTCCTAGGGCGCCAGCCGGAGGTGAGCCGGGCGGCCAGGCTGCCCACAGGTCCAGGGCCCGTCCCAGCTCCCCTGGAGTCCTCCACCTCTCCCTCCCCCCACCCCGCCCACCTCACTTCAGGCCCCTACAGCCTGGGCACTGGGCCAGTGCATCTAGCCCAGGCAGCGGGCCGGCCCCGGGGCTCTCCAGAAGGCGGGCTCAGCGGGGGTGTCGGGGGGACATGGGGAGACGTGGACTCTAGCAAGATGTCTGCCTTTCTCTGCTCGCCATAACTAGAGACAGGTTTTCCTTTACCTCCTCCGAGGATTCCCGTCGCTCCCTGCCGGTCCGGCCCTGTAACCCACTGCTATTACTGACCAGATGACCTCGTTACTGACCGCCGGCCCCAGCCACCTCTGGGGTCCAGTTCAGGCCTCTGCTGCTCCCTGGTGGCCGGTGCTGGGACCCGCCCCTCCCGCAGGCTCTGGACCAACTGGCCTCTCCAGCCCCGGCCTGCGCTCTGCCCCTTTCCTCCAGTACTCAGCCCTGGTGTGTAGGTTAGGATGAGGGAGGCCGCCCCTGACTCTTTCTGGGATTTGATCATGGGTCTCTACGAGGAGTGAAGAGGTGCCAGGACGCCCGCCATACCCCTCCCGGTGTCAGTCTTTTCTTCCCACTGCCAGATCAGACACGGTGGGGCCCACACAAATCCCTGGCCTGGGCCTCCCCCATCCCACACGTGCACACACCAGGGCCTCCCCACCCCCTCCTTACCTAGTTTCTTGGCTACAGCTGCATCCTTCTCCGAGTCTACCAGCCCAAAGCCAACACCCTTGTCTTCGAGGACTTGGGCCGCTAACTGGAGGGAGCACAGGGACAGAATCAGCTCTGGGACTCCTAGTCACCCCGTGCCCATCTCACGCTTCCCAGAGCGGTCACTGGGGACATGGGGAAGAGAAGAGCTGCCCTTGGCGCGGCGCGGGGCCCCAGGCAATCTCCATTTCCCCGCGAGCCCACCCTCGGGCTGTGGTTCCGCTTCGGCCCCTGGACGCGGCTGCTGGTGGGCATGGAGCTTCCGGTGTTGCTCCGCAAGGCGGGTGCGGGACACTTCCAGGCCCCGGGGGACGCTGGGGAGTCTGACTTCACGGCAGCTCTGGCCCTTCCTGCTTCGGGGCTGAGCCCTGCCCACCATCATCGTTAAAGGCCAGGCTCAGTGTGGGGTGACATTAGAAGTCCTTGAGGTTCTTCTGAGGAACCCCCTCTGGGGAGCATTTGGGAGGGCAGGGCTGTGTGGGGTGGGCGGTCATGTCACTGAGGAGTGGCCGAAGCCAGAGAGGTGAGAGTGGAGGTCACCATGGCCACCACTTGTCACCTTCAGAGACAGAGACTCTAGCAGGCATGAGAGGGGACACAGGCAGAGCTGTTCTCACTGAGGCCAAACTCACCCGGTGTGTCCCAGCCCTTCCTTACTCAGGCTGTGGACAGTCGCTCCCCTAGGTCCCTGCCCCCTCCTGCCCCCTCCAGCCTCCCAGCTGGACTCAGCCCTGTCTCACTCTGCCTCGCTCCCTCTTAAGTGACGCTGGGCGCCCGGCTTCTCCGGAAGACGGGGAGGCTGTTGGCAGGTGAATGAGCAGAGAGGCTGAGCACTCAGGGTAAAAATACCCGGTGCATTCATCAGATGGCCTGTCCCGGCACCCACAGGGGAGCACGGAGCTTGTGGTCCCTCCCTCCGGCAGGCTGGAGCCTCGCCGTCCTGGCTGGAGAAGGGGCTCCAGGGCTTGGACCGGAACACGAATGCGTCCTGGCTGCTAGAGAGTGTGTGGGACTCTGTCTCCCAGGCATCCCCCAGAACAGGCCTTTTCTCTTGTTTTAAGTCTGCTCTGCTCTGGGGCGAGGAGAGCCTCCCCACAGAGAGAAGCTGGGGAAGGCCCTCTGAAGCCTCCTCCAATGGCGAGAGTTTTCCCATCAGGGCATCCGGCCTGACCCAGTAGGGGCAGATGGAGAATTAGGGAGAGAGGGACTGAGGCCAGTGGGAGCCATGGTGGGCTCAGTTAAACCTTGGGCGGGAGAAAGTGATGCCGTGCAAATGAAGAGGTAGGTAGCCTTTAAAATGCATTCCATTTGGATGGGCTTGGGGTGCAGGCCCCGCAGTGTGGACAGGGGGGCATGTACTGACCAGGAGAGTGGATTGGGGCTGCCGTACATCTCCAACCCCCTGCTCCGGAGCACGTCCCTTTTCTTTTTTGTGCTCCCCTTCCAAGGACACGGCAGTCCTGGCCTAACCGGGCACCAGCAACCTCCGGCGGCTTAGAGGAGGGTCTCCCCGCAGCCCCTGGCTCCGAAGCGTGCCTAACCGTGGTGCGACTTTGGGTTCCAAGCCACTTTCTCGTGGGGCCAAGGCCACATGCTGCGAGTCTGCTGGCATGTTGCCCCTCACCCCCTGAGGGTCCCCCTCCAAGTCTGCATGTGGCCAGGCTAGGGGTGGCCGGGAGACGCCACCGCCCCCCACTCACCTCCAGGATCAGCTCTTCCATCTCGAACTGTCTTTGTGAGGCCTTGTCGTCCTCGGGGGGCTCATGGTAGAGCAGCGCCAGCACCTCATACTTCTTGAACACGTTCTTGTAGTTCTTCGCGTTGACATTGACCACACGGTCCACGCCATCATACTGAGGGAATTCCAGCCCGTCCTCCCCCTGCACCCCCAATCTGGGTGTCCCTAGCATCAACAGGAACAGCAGTGCAGGCCGCAGCCCGGGCCCAGCCCTGGCCCCAGCACTGGCCCCCATTCTGTGGGCAGGTGCGCGTGGAGGGAGCAGGGTCAGGGTCAGCTGGCCGGGTCCTGAAGAGGGAGCTGGGGTAGGGCGGGGCCGTGGGTCCTGAACCCTGAGTGAGGGGCTCACAGAGGGGGTGGGGTGGGGAATGGCCCAGAGCAGGGGACAGAGGACGCTGCTGGGTTCTGGACACACTGAGGACAGAGCCAAGAATGAAAGGGTCAGGAGGAGGGATAGGAGCAGGGGGCGGGGAGGGAACCGGAGCTGTCCCTGAACTTGGCACCACGGGGCCCCCACCTGGCTCCGTCTAAATCTGTCTCTGGGGTTGGCAGGAGAGAAGATAACCTTCTGAGGCCAGGACAGCTCCAGGAGGGCCGGGACCCTCCCTCCTCCTCCACCGAGCCCCCAGGCTCCTGGAGCCCCTCCCCCGCCGCCTTCCACCCCGGGCAGGGTTCCTCAGCACGGTCCCCACTGCCCGCCCGAGCTCATCGCCATATTAAGAAAGGAAAAAGGCTGAGCTAAAAATAGGACAAGATGAGTCGGAGGTAAATGAGCTGGGCTGGGGGAGGGGAGGCGTGGGGTCATTAGGGAGAGTCCAGGGAGGGTAAGTGTACCAGACCGAGAGAGATGGGGGTGGACAGGACGTGTTCTGGGTCAGAGATTAAATTCATACGACTGGACAAAGGGGCACAAATGCCAGATTGCTTCTTGTCCTAAAACCTGGGACTGTGTCCTCGATCCTGCAGCCAAAGCACCCGGACTTCAGGAAGAGACCCTGCGCTTCCCTTTCAAGAGCCAGGACCAAGGATGAGGTCATTCTCTGAAGAAAAGATGGAGCCTCGGCCCGCGAGAAGGGCCGCCTGGCCCGGCCCCAGCCGCTTTCCTGTGCTTCACTCAACGCCCTCAGTCTGGATGCAGGGGCAGGACGGGGCGTGGGGCCAGGAGCGCTGGCCCGCGTCCACCCTGCAGAAATGCGATTTGGGGTTCCTCTCCACAGGGCCAGCGGAGAAGGGGAAAGTCCTGAGTGCTGCCTCGTGTTCCTGCTCAGCACAGCCTTGGATCAAAGGGGACTCCGTTCTCTAGGGCACAGCGGGGAGGGCCGGCTCTGGGGGCGAGTTGCTGAGCACATGCTGACAAACATTCTGACAAAGAGGATCCGGCGCAAAGGCCGGGGGTTGGGGGGGCGGTAACTTGGGGAAAACCTGAAGACGGTTCCCTGCACCAGAGCTGGGGGCTGATTCGTTCTGTGCACTTGAGAGGGGGGAGGGGAGTGGGGGAGGAGCTCGAACTTCCTGCGCCCCATCCTGGGGGTGAGGGCTGGGGACGAGCTCGGCTCTGGGTACCTAGGAAGGAAGGACCCTTTTCATGGCCCTCCAGGGCTCCTACAAGGCACAGGTAAACTGAGGCACAAGGGAGCCCAGGGGAGAGGCTAGATAGAAGCTCTCCGCCCCCACGCTGAGCTATGTCTGATTTTGGAGAGGGAGGGTTTGCAGGGAGGGTTTGCAGCCGGGCAGGGACATGAAATCGTGTTAGAAGAATAGCTTTCCCCCTCCTGTGGGGTGGGCCTTGCACCACAAACGAAGGAAGCAAGTAAGGCCACGGGAAATCTCAGGAATGTGGCAGGAGGGGGTCCAAGAGAGATAGCTGCCCCTGGGGCGGGAGAGGCCAGAGCTAACCTGAGCCGGGCCCGTTTGAGCTAAAGAGGCCTCAGAACCCATCAGCTGGCCTCGCAGGAAAGCCGCCGAGCTGCCCACAGCAGCCAGCCACGGCCGGCTGGCAGGAGGGAGGGTGCCAGTTTCTGACTTCTGCTGCACTCTGGGGGAGGGGCAGACGCTGGAACATTGGACCTGCCCCTCAGCGCCCCCAAGGGTGTGAGATGGGGCTAAAAGGTGACCTGGGCCCCCCACTCCCACCCAGTCCGTCCCAGCAGCTGCACCCTCCCCTCCTGCTCCCCACCCCGCACCCCTGCTGCTTTGCTCCCCACTTTCTCCTCTGTCCCTTCCCTCTGGGCCCCTGTCTTCAGGCCCTTGGACTTAATAGGCCTCAGCAGCGGGTGTCAAATGACCCAGAGTTGGGGCCTCTGTATTTTTAACCCACCAGACGCCTGAAGCTCTTGCCACTGAAACCCGAGTTGCTGGCCCCTCGGCGCTCCCCACCCCCGCTCACTCCCCACGCCCTGGCCCCTCCATCTTCCGGGCCTGATGCAGCAGCTGAGTCAGCAGCAGGGGAAGGACCCCAGACCGATATAGCCCTGTCCCTAGGGGACCTGCTGCTGGAGAAGGGCAGGCGACAGGTGGGAGAGACCTTGGCGGTAGTCTGGTGCAGGGGCTGAGCGAGGGCTCCAGCTTACAGCCGCCTTCTCTGCCGCTCAGCCTCCAGACCCTCCGGGGACCTTTCCTCCTCCCTTCCCTACTGTTCTGGTTCCGCCCCAGCCCTCATTGCGAGTTTGGGCTCGAAGTAGTTACGGGTGTAAGTGCTGGGATCAGACAGACCGTGGGGGACTCATCAGGGAAACAGGGTGGGTGCTCCGAGTCTACTTGCTGTGTGAGTTACTGGACAGTGTGCTTCGGGCACTCGTCACACCGGGCTGTCCCTTAATGCACACGCTTTGTTTTTGGTGACAGTCAACCACTTGCGGCAGGTTTCCTTCACATCTCTCTGCCCTGCATGCTTTGCGCTCAGCCCCCAGAGAGGTGGGACCATGACGACCTCCAGGGCAAAGTGCACCGGCTCACAAAGCAACAGCCAGTACAGGGATGAAGAGGAAGGAGGAGCCACCTCTGAGGGTGCAAGGGAGGGGCGGGGGGGGGGCAAGGGCCCAGGGCTCCTCCTCTTCCTCCCCAGATACAGCCAGGAGCCTGGGCCCCGCTTCTCAGGCTCCGGAGACCAGACCTTTGGGAATGTCCATCCCCCTGAGCAGAGCCTTCTCCCAAAGTCAAGACTACGGGCGCTTCTCCCAAAGTCAAGACTACGGGATCCAGAATGATGGGATGGGGTCGAGGTGCCAGAGGGCAGGGACCAGCGTCCCATTCCCAGAGGAAAGCTGTGTCCCACATTTGCCACTCACCGTGGGACGCTTCCCAAGTCCTGTTGCACCTTGGGCTCTTCATGGACGACCTAAGGTCTTTCCTAGCACCAAGCTCCACGATGAGTCCGTGCGCCACTCTGGATGGGGGTGCTGCGGTCCCCTCTTGAGTCTGGGGTTCTGCTGCTTCTTTCACCTCACCCGTGCCTCTGACCCTGCTCCACTGTCCTGTCCTCGCTTTCCCTTGGCTCTTTTAAGTCGGGGGCCTGCCCTCAAGGGGCAGTGATGCTTGATTCTTACCCCCTCCCAGCCCCAACTCGTCCCTGAAAGGCCGCCCTGCCTGGCTCCCATGGAGACCTTGGAGACACCGTCACAGTAGTCCCCTCTTTACAGAAACCAGACGGACGCATCCAGCCAGGTGAGGGCCACTGTACACATTTATTGTCTAGACTGGCTACTGATTCAGCAGGAAAGCGCCTCTCCCCCCGCACACAGGCTGTGCTGGCCCTCCACTCCCCAGTGCCCTCAGTCCAGCCCCAGGACTGCCTCTTTCCTCCCAGGTAATCCATCCCAGCATCTCTGCCCTGACTCATGCTCTCTCAGATGCACCCAATTCATAACCCCAGCCCCCCACCCAGCCCTGGGACGGCCCCCGCACGGGAAGTTCTTCTTCTGCTGAGTTCAGTAGTAGGTCTCTCTCTCCAGCCACCCTGTGGATGAGAGGAGACCAGAGTGAACTGGGGAAGGTGGAGGGGAGCCCCTAAGGAGGGAGGAAAAGGCGTGGGGAGAGAGGGACCTGGCCCCCTGGGAACAAGGTGGGAGGGGAGAACTGGTCAGAGGCTGGAGACGCCTTGGAGCAGGGAGGGGGGCCCTCACCGCCAGGATGACTTCGGATGGTGAGTTTTCTAATTTCATCATAGATAAAGATGAGAAGGCTGTAGGGAGTGGCACAGAGCCACCAGGGTAGCCTGTGGGGGACAAGTGTTGGTCAGCAGGGCGGGATCGAAGGGCCAGAGGAGGGCAGCTGCAGAGGGCAGTGCACAGAACCGAGCATGTCATCACCGGCTGGAGGGCTGAGCCCTAGGCCTGGGGAGGTCAGAGCCGGGTGGGGGAGGGAGGAGATGGAAACCCAAGAAGCCAGTGACAACAGAACGTGACAAACTTCGCGTTAGAGGTACCCGCAGTGCTCCTGGCTTCTGCAGTCGCTCAGGGAGACCCCTGTTGCCTTACCGGTCTTCTGGGCCTTGTGCCCCCAAAGGGGAGGGTGGTCTGAGCAGGAGGGGTCTCCCCGGGACTACACCTGTGCGGATATTTCCCTGAAGAATGGATACACTTGTCCATGTTGCGAACATGGGAACGTTTTTCTTCCGGAATCTCTTCTGTCCTTAGAGGCCAGGGAGACTCTGGGGAAGAGTCAAATCATAGCCACGTTTGTTCCCTTGGGTGACAGGGAGGTGGCCTAGCCCAGTGGCATCACTCTGAGCCACGAGGCTCACTGTTTTCCAGTAGCTGCATTAAAATAAGCAAAAAGAAACGGGGGCAATTCATTCTAATACTAGGTTTTTATTTAACCCAATATATCCAAAGTATCATCGTGTGCACAGGGAACCGAAGTAAACATTATGAAGGAGGTAGATTACAAGCTTCTTTTCCCCTAAGTCCTTGGGGTCTGGGGAGTATTACACGCTGAGGGCATGTTGCACGTCAGACACTGGATTTTCCAAGGGTCAAGAAAATGTAGTCCAACCCAGCCAGGAAAGTTGCGTTCAGTGGGACAGTCCCTGAGAGTCTATGTCTGCATTAGCTAAAGAGTTTATGTCTACATTAGCTAAAGAACTCCGGATCTCAGTCTCACTAGCCATATTGCAGAAGCTCAGTAGCGAGTGACTGAAGGAGGGTGTTGTGGGAAAGAAGGCAAAAGAAAAATTCAATTTCCATACTGTCTCCAACCCGCTGATGAGTGACCTGCCTCCTGGGATTCAGCTGCCTTGATGCTCATACCTTGCTAAGGGCCAAAGGCAATCTTAGCCCGACTCCCAGGACCCTGTAAGTCTACTTTAACATAAAGAAATTCCTCTGGAAACTTCCTTTATTTCTACTCTCTCAAGATACACGTTGGCAGTCATCAGCCAAGGATATGACCCGTTGATATACATCTGAGGGGTCTCAGGACTAAGGTTTTATTGGAGGGTAATAAATGACCTTTCCCCTTTTCCTAACAATAGGAAAATGTCCCCTTCAGGGTCCTGGAAACTGTACCTCCAAAATTCCTTAGAGACTGATGACGCTTCCCTAGCCCCCTCCCAACTTGAAAGTATAGAACCAGGGGTTCCAAGGGGGATCAGTTGTTAAGCATCTGCCTTTGGCTCAGGTCATGATCCCAGGGTCCTGGGATCGAGCCCCACATTGGGCTCCCTGCTCCGGAGGGAGCCCGCTTCTCCCTCTGCCCTTCCCCCTGCTTGCTCTGTCTCTCTCACTATCTCTCTCACTGTGTCAAATAAATATATAATATATATTTTTTTAAAAAATAAAAGTATACAATCAGCCCCAGAGGAGCTCTTTCTGCCCAAGGGTCCTATTCCCGGGCTTTAAACAAAACTACCTTTTGGCACCAAAGACAACTCAAGGATTCCTTCTTGGCCATCGGCTTTGAACCCTGACGTCTCTCCTGCATCAGGTGGCGGCTGCCGTCTTGGCCAGCAGGGGCCTTGGCCGGGATTCATCCCACGTGCACACACAGTCCCATACACACGGCCACAAACACATTCAACAGCAACAGCCATGTGTCCCTCCGTGTCCGCGTAGGGCGGGAGGGACTAAAACTGAGGGCATGATGACGGCCTTTGGTCTCAAGGAGCTCAGGTGGTCCGGGAAGCGAAGATAGAAAAACAGCAGAAGTGTACTGTTAGGTGACGTGTGCTGTGGTCAGGGTGTGTACAGAATGTTTGGGAGCCCCAGTTAACGCCCCACTGAATCGACAAGTACTTGAATGTTGACATCGCTAGCAACAGGAATCAAGCTCCTATGAACAAAGCTCCCGCAGTGACCCACGCCACCGTGCTGGGTGCCCTGTACACATTTCTGCACGTAGTTCTCACAACGGTCCTGTGTAGGACGCGGGTACGGCTGAGGCTCAGCCGGGTTACACGCTGTCCAGAATAATACACAGCAGAATTGAGATTCAAACCTGGGCTTGTCAGTATCTAAGGGCAGCGCCAGTGTCCGGTATTAAACATTAATTGGGCACCGACAGTATACAAAGCGTTGTGTAAAATGCTGCAAGAGACAGGTGAGTGAGGTGTGTGAATTTGTAGCAGACAAGCTGGAAGCATACAGTCTGAGTCAGGAATAGGCTGCCTTTGCAGGTGGGGGTGATGGGGGACATGGTGGTTTTGCTTTTTTCCCTGTAAACATTTTTTTTTAAGATTTATTGATTTATTTTAGAGAGGTAGAGAGAGAGCGCGCTTGTGCTCATGCAAATGGAATGGGGGAGGGGTAGAGGGACAGAAAGGGGAAGCAGCCTCCCCACTGAGCACAGAGCGTGGAGGGGCTTGATCTCAAGACCCTGAGATCATGACCTGAGCCAAAACCAAGAGTCAGATGTTCAACAGACTGAGCCCCCCAGGAGCCCCTCCTCGTAAATTTGTTCACAATAAGGATACACTAATGTAAAAAAACAATACAAAACAAAAACAAAAACATGGGCCTGTTTTGAGGAAAACAGGTAGCAGACAGTATGACTTTCTGCATGCCACTCACAGACGCACCTTGACGGTGTCTGCCTCCGCACAGCACAATTAGCCATGCGTGGATTAGGCTATTTTTATGTTTACTTCCGCTCCAAGCCATTTGTATCCTTGAACAGCTATGCCACCCGGCACTGTCAAAAAGACGCCCTTGTGTTGAGTGCCGGCAAGTCTGCTAAATTTCCATGTCTCGCGGGGTGCCATCACTTGGCACGGGGCCCCCCCATCCCTCCCTAAGTAAGATGCGTTTGTGGGAGCACAGACGGTTCTCCTTACATCACCCAGGGTGGCCCAGTCCATCCCGGCAGCCCCCAGCTGGCGGCTTCCTCTCCCGGGGTCTCCCTGTGCTGGGGACCTCCGCCCCCCCACCCCCTGCAAGCCTGTGTCCCTTCCCTCACTCACTTGAGTGGGTACATCCTCAGGGCTGTGTCTGTGCCTGGTGTGTAGGACAGAAAAGCAGCCAGGAAGGTCTCCTCCAGGATCCCGAATATTAGGATCTTGTTTCTGGGAAGAAATGGGGGAAGGGCGTGCTGGAGAAGAGGAGGGAGAGGTGGGGGAGCGGCGCCCCCTGCAGTGTGTGGGCAGGAGGGGGGCGGGGCCGGGGCGGGGCGCTCACTTCATGCCCTGTTGGAAGACTGAGTTGCGCCGGGTCTTGCAAATGATGAGGTCGGCCCACTGCACGACCACGATGCTGACAAAGAAGGCCGTGTGGCACGTGAACTCCAACACCTTCCGCTGCTCGTAGGTCTGGGGGAGGGTGGGCGGAGTAGAGACGGTGCGTGTGTCAGAAGGGGTCTGGGTCCACCTCCCTGGCTCTCTCCCTCTCCACCCCTCCAAGGCCGAGTCAGGTCTAGGCCCCCACCCTTCCTACCATCTCTTCTCAGCACTTTCCGTGTTGGGTTCTGAGTTGTTTCCTTGCTTTCCTGACCCACTGAGAGCCACTCAAGGGCAAGCACCTGTCTCGTTGACCTTGGCGCTGCCCTCCCATGCTTAGTTCAGGGGCTGCAGGTGGACGGCTTTGAAGTGTTCAGCAGGTGAAGAGGAGGGGTGGTGAGAGGAGGAAGCAGACCTGAGAGCTGAGGAAGGAGCTCCGAAGGGGAGGGGGCATGGAGGGCATCCGGCCGCAGAGTGGTGGGGGGGGGATGCCGGGGGTTGGGGGGTCGGCACCAGAGAGGAGCACTCGCTCCCCCACGGAGTCTTCCTCGCATCCGTACGTGACACACAAGGAACCTAAGTCTAGGGGGAAGAGAAGTAGGCTGACACGGGGTCACCGAGGGCATGGGAGCACAGAAAGGCGCATCTCCATTAGACTGGAGAAGAAGTCTGTGTTTCAAAGATGAGAGCGGCATGGTTCTGACTGACTGGTAGACTGAGCACGGAATTTGAGGCCCTGGAAGACTGAGTTGACGGCGAGATGCTCCATACGGAGCCTCGAGAACTGTGGCACGTGGAGGGAGAGAGGCTGCCTTGAGTGATTGGAACACAGAGGCCGACGTTGATGAACCCTGTGCTGCGCGAGGAGCCAGTCCCATGGGCCCATTTGTGATGTCCCCGTCACTGCCACCAGCACGGTCAGCCACCTGCACCCCAGCACCCCGTGGCTGCTGGCAGATTTCAGCTCTGATGCCCTCACTCGCCCGCTCCTGTCCTAGGTTCTGGGAATTCAGACATCCGTATGGATGACCCTTCCAGCACCACGGTCTCCCTCTCCAGGGAGGTGGCCCTCCGCTCCCCACCTGGGCTGCTGGTGCCCATGTCACATCCCAGATCTGTCCTTGCCGAAAGCTGGTTTCTCTGGGATTTCCATTCCAAGCATCCCTCCTCTCTGACCACAGCTTTGACCTCTCCATCCCACCCACTCTGGGGTCTCAATTCCAACACTTCCCGGACTCTGCTCAGACTTGAGTTCCATGGATCCTGTAGGTTACATATTTGGTCATTAGCTGTCTCCCCTCCCAACCCCCGCTCCTAGCTAGAGTATAAACTCTGCCAGAGCAATAGCTTGACCATGTTTGTTCACTACCATACCCCCCAGTGCCAGAAGAGCATCTGGTACCTAGAAGATGCCTCCTGGATGAGGAAGTGGTGATCAGTGGAATTGATGGTGAGACGTATTTAGAAGGTAGGGAGCTCTCCCTGGTTCTAGCATTCTATGGAGTCCTTCCTGGTTGGGGCTGGGGGGATGGCTCCCTGTGTGATTATCCGAAGATTATGGCAGGGGAAGAGGCACAGACCCTGCCTTTATGAACTTTCTTCCTCCCGGCAATTGTTCTCAAACCATTCCGCAATACTTCAAGACGTCTTTGATGTAATTTGGTGCTACTTCAAATTAATTTTAATTACCTTTAATTTATTACAAATAAATGTATGTTGAGCTGTGTCTTAGCAACAGGGAGATGTTATCAAGATATAAAACTAACAAAGGCTGGACTTGAGGATCGAGGAGATGCTGACAAGGTAATGACTTTGGGCATCATTAGACCCAGGAGTGATCTTGATGGCTGAGAACAATTGACCTCTGATGGCCTCCTGGGGCTCGGCTAGGGGAAGCCAAGTATGTACCAGGAGCGCCTTTCCAACAACCGGGATTCTCACCTACTTTTGAGAAACCTACAGTTAGCTTGGTTTGGAGGCATCCAAGAAGATGGATGAAGGTGGAAGGTGCCAGGCAGGAACCAGAGTGGAGCTCCTGAGAAGCCCTTCTAGGGATGCCCCGTGGGACTCCGCGCAAGCCGCCAAACCTTTCTAGACTCAGTTTCCTTGTTTACAGAGTGACGAAAACAGACTATGTGTCTCCTATAGACTCTGCGTCCTCTGCAGTCCTACGAGTCTAGCAAAAATTGGTGTCACGTCGCCCACTGTTTTACAAATCGGGACAGGCATGTTCACAGGTAGGAAAAAAACATACTAAAATTCTTGGACACATCTTGTTGGCCAGAGGGCTTCTATTTGAACCTCATTCATCTTGGGTTTTAGGAAAGACTACTACAGAGGCATCCTTGATGTTGAACAAGTTTAGAGAGGTGAGAAAGGGAGATACAAAGCACGTAGGTTTTCAGACTTGAAGTCATATTATTTGAACTCCCATGGAAGGAGGGAGTGAAACAGAGAGGGAAGACCCAGCACTCACTTCTGAGGTAATGATGCCAAGAACCTGGGAACACAGAAATCAGCCCCCAAGGTTGACATGATGAGGAAGACCTCCAGGTCCAAGGAAGCTGAAAGACCCAGCAGGGTAAGGACAGGTGACAGACGGCAGGAATGAACAGAAATGAAGTCATTGTTTGGAAAGTCTTCCTTTGAAGAGGATTTGCTGATGCAATGCGAGATTGAGGTCACGTAGGACTGGAGAGGAGGCGGCGTCAGCTCTGCCTGTCTGGTGCCTGTATTTGCCTCTCTTCCCTGTCCCTTCTTCACCCTTACCAGTCACTGTCTCAGGCGTCACCCCCTCAACTCACCCACTGCTGTCCGTAGCTGTCCTCCAGGTCATTGGAGAACCGGTCCTCCCAGTTCAGGCGGATACCCAGCAGGTCAAGGGGCTTGAAGCCGTTCTCGGCCAGGATCACAAAGTAGGTAAAGAACCCAGCCAGAGCCTGGATCATCCCTGTGAATGACAGTCACGGGACAGAGGGACCTGGTTCAGAGCGGGACCTCAAAAGTCAGACCATGGAAGGTCATGGCCGGGTTCTAGCTGGGCTGATGGGTGTCTGAGCTTTCAGGGCTGAAGACGCTTGCCACCAGCGACCTGACCCCTTCACTCTGTGGGACTTGTCTCCAAACCCGACATTTGTCTCGGGGCTCTAAACCAGAGTCACCTCTGAGTCACAGAACCTGGAAACTGAAAGGACCCTGGAGAGGATCCTTTTTTCTTTCCACGAGCACTGGACTCTTCTGCATCCACTTCCTCTCACGTGTGGACCCCATCAGGTCCTGTCCTCTCCTCGCGTCTCCCCCCTGCCCCTGGCCTGTCTTTTCGTCGACACCTGCGTCTGCCAGGCCTGGCCATGGCGATAGTGGACGCCAGCGTCTGTCCGCCGCCTGCTGAGTGGCGAACCAAGTCCCTCTGGACCTCGATCCTCACGACAGCCGTGAGCTATCATTCACCTTTCAGAGGTGGGGAAACTGCGGCACAGAAAAGATTCAGCCCTTGTCCAAGGTCATACAGGCAGTAAGTGGCGAGACTGGGATTCAAACACAGGTCTGGCTTCTAAATCGGCGCTTTCTCCGTGTGTTTCCTCCTCTACCTCCTCTAGATCTTGGGGCGGTCTCCCCTGTCCGTCCCTCACCGGCTCCTTGGAATACGGCCCCGGCAACTCGGGAGCAAAGACTTCTAGCGGCTCGCCCGTGCCTTTTAAGGCTGCCCCCGGGAAAGTGCTGCCTGTAGCCACAGCCTCACCCCTACTGCGCCTTTCTCACGAGCCCAGGCTCCCCCAGACTGGTCATTCGCTCTTCCACAAGCAGGCGTGTGAGGTCCCCCTCTGGCTCACGGTGCCTCTACGACCTTCCAGTACCAGGCACGAGTCCTGCTCCGCCCACCCGCCTCCCCGACTGTCGTCCTGGCCCCTGAGCCCCTGCTCTGTTCTGCGCACGTTTTGCGCGTGCTCCTCTCTCGACCCTGGGAAAGACGCCATCGGTCTATGTATGTCTGTTCCTTCTCGGCTGGGCTCTCAAGTCAAGGGCACATCAGACAGCAGTGGCTTTGTGTCCCCAGGGCCCAGCACCCAGTTTGCTGTCATGAGAGCATCTCCCTGACGCCCGTGGCCCCGGCAGGTGCGGCCGCCCCCCACCGCCGCAGCCCCTCATGCCTCGGGCCGCACCAATCTGCCCGTAGGCCATGCCGATGAGGCGATTGTTCACCAGGTTGTCAGTCTTTGGATTCCGGGGGGCCCTCTTCATGATGTCACTTTCGGGGGACTCGTAAGCCAAGGAGATGGCCGGGACCTGGAGGACGGAGGGTGGGTGTGACGAGGGGCACAAAGTTCAGAAGGAAACACAGGAGTGACTCACGCGAGCTCTGTCCCTCCCCCCGGACACAGCCTTCTTCTGCTCCCCGGTTCCCCGGGTGGCACTGTGAGCCGGCTCCCGGTTTGGGCCTCACCATGTCGGTGCCCAGGTCGATGCAGAGGATGGTCACGGTGCCCAGCGGCAGGGGGATGCTGAGGATGATGAAGAGCAGAAAGGGCGTGATCTCAGGGATGTTGCTGGTCAGGGTGTAGGCGATGGACTTCTTCAGGTTGTCGAAGATGAGGCGGCCTGGGGGAGGAAAGCGCCCCGTCTGTGAGCGGCGCCGAGAGGACACCACCCGCATGCCAGCCCCTGGACAGAGAATGCTACAAAGTGGCGTCACAGCCCCTGCAAGTGTCTGGAGTTCCTAGACCTCAACCGGGTCTCGTTCCCAGCTTTGCTCCTGAATTACAGGATTCCTCCTTGGAGCCACACTCCTTAGCCCGTCAGGCCTGCGCCTCCTTGTCCTCGGATCAGTGGGGCTAATAGTGCCTGATCCCCGAGAGGGAGGCAGGGCCGGGACGGGCTGATTCGCAGAGATGTCCGAGAACAGCAGCATTGAGGCCCCTAGAAGTTCAAGGCCGAGGTGGAAAAAGTCCAGACTTGGGTTCCAATCCTGTTTTCTGCCCCAACAGCTTGTGACGTGGGGCCCCTCTCGCTCCCCAAGCCTCAATCCCCCTGCCTTGCAAGATGGCTTGCGTCGATCCCTGACGGCCCTTTCAAGAACCATAAGCCCAGCCCCGTTGTCCTTATGTCCTTGTAATACACAGTGCGGTTCCCTGTCTGTCTGTCCTGCTGCACCAGAAACGAAGGAGCATGAGGGCAGGGATTTGTGTCTTATCTCGCACATCGCACCCCAGCGTCTAGAATAGAGCCTGGTACGCGGCTGGTGCTCCAAACATGTGCGGAACCGAGTGGAACCCTACGGAGCGTTGGGATCTCACTAGGTCTCAGAAAAATGGTGCAGCTGTTTCTCTTATGTGGTTTGTCGTAGGTCTCAGTAAGATGGGCGCAGGCAGGAAGCGGGGAGTCCGGGAAGCAGGACTCGGGGGCTGTCCCGCTCGCCGGTGGGTGTGGTCTGCAGAAGTTTCTGGGAAAGGGGGCGCTCAGCACGAGCCCCAGATCGGGCTCCGGCTGACCTCACTGCCTCAGCGTCATTCAGGCCACCGGTTCCCAGGGCCCCCGCGATGGTGGCGGACAGAGTCGTCCCAGAGAACAGCTACGTCTCAGAACCTGGGGCAGACCTGCTGGAATGTGTGTGAGGGGACAGAGGACACTCCGTGAGACCAGAGTCCCCGTGAGACCGGGACTTCAGTCTGCCTGTGCCTTCGGCCTCATACAGAAAGGCCCCCGAGAGTGACGTCCAACCACGGCCAAGTCTAACTGATGGAATTTTCTCTTACACCGACTGTTCTGTCTGTACAGGACTATGGAGGTGGAATGATGAGCAAAGGGACACCAGCTCCCGCCCAACTGTCACCTGAGTTGATGGGCACCCTGACCCCTCACCCTCCTCCACGCCCGTGACGATGGAGGCAAAGTTGTCGTCCAGCAGGATCATGTCGGCGGCCTGCTTGGACACGTCGGAGCCCGTGATGCCCATGGCGATGCCGATGTCCGCCTTCTTCAGCGCGGGGGAGTCGTTCACGCCGTCCCCGGTCACTGCCACGATGGCCCCCTGCACGAGGCCCAGAACAAGAGATGTTATCCCTGAGGTAGAGCGAGACACGTCCCAGAGGTCACTCTGATCCCATCATCCCTTGTTTTTCGGCCCTTCTGTCTCCTGCTCCTCCCGAGACGAGAAACCTCTCAGGACCCCAAAGGACGCCCATCTCAGGACAGGTTGCTCCTTGGACTCCCCCAACCAGCCTGAGGAGTTTGGGGGCAGGGCTGGGCCAGGCGCCCCAGGGCGCCCCGTCCCGCTCACCTGCCGCTGGCAGCCCTCCACGATGATGAGCTTCTGCTGCGGCGATGTCCGCGCGAACACGATCTCCGTGTGGTTCTTGAGGACCTGGTCCAGCTGCTGTGACGTCATGGCCTTCAGGTCGGCGCCGTGCACCACGATGGCCTTGGCTTCCCTGAGGGAAGGAGTTCAAAAGCCCGTGCAGAGCGCTCAGAGGAGTCCTTGTGCTTCGGTCCAGCCTCCGCCGTGACCGCCTGTTTCTGCTTTTGTCCGGCTCCTCGCTTGTCCCCAGTGGCCCACCGTCCCCGGACAGACACGCCGCACCCCTCCCTGCTTCCCCTTGGCTCTACGCCCTTCCGTCTACTTCCTCTGAAAACCCACGACGTAGTCACTTGGTCCTTTTCCTATTATGTCTTATTTTGCATTGAATAAACCCTACACGTCCTACCGACCGCAGGAACCTCCAGGAACTGTTGGGAGTGGGGTCGGCATGGGGTGGCTGAGGATATAGGAGGCAGACACGGCGGATCTGAGTTCTCTAGGGGCCCCACCTGGAGTTGATCTGGCTGACAGGGACCTGGAGCCGGGCCGCCATGTCCTCCGCAGTCTCGTTGCCTTCTGATATGATGCCCACACCTTTGGCGATGGCCTTGGCTGTGATGGGGTGATCTCCGGTCACCATGATCACCTGGGTCAGGAGGGGAAGGTGGGGAGCTGAGTCATCTTCAGGGGGTCCTGGACTCTTAACCTTTCTCTCCAGGACCTAACAGATCACCGCCTTCATGCCAAGGGGCCATTCATAGTTCATCCCCAAGGACTTCTGCTGTGGTGGCTTTGCCCCCTGGGACTGGGTCGGGACCACCAGACCATCACACACAGAACAGTTCGGGTTCTAGGTTTCCCAGGCATAAACTGGGGATTTGGGTATATTACTATATTCGGAATTTCCCTGAATCATTCCAGGGCTATCCTGTTTCTTTAAGCTGAAAAGGCAAATACCTACACGTAAAACACATGGTAATAAAGAGGCGTTTGGGATAGCCCGTCTGCCTGCCAAAGCATCCCCCAGGCCCAGGCACGCTCTGACCCTCTTCGTCTTGCTTCCCTGGGGTCTCCCCTGGGTTCCAGCCCTTTTGCAGATGTCCGGACCAGCCCCAGCCCTGGCTCCCCAAAGCTCAGGGGCCTGGCTCCGGGCTGTGCTGGCACTCTGTTCCCTCTGTCAGCCCTCCTCCTGCTCCACGTGGGGCGGGCTTGTCTCTGTCCACCGGTGGAGCGCTCGGCCAGAATGGGCCGGGTCCGGGCTGCCTGTGAAGCTTTGCTCTGTCGTGGAGCCTGGCTGTAGCCCGCGGTCCACAAACCGCGGTCAGAGGCAGGAATGAACGAGTGCTTCTCAAGAATCCCGGCCCAGGCTCCCGAAGGCCCTCAGGGAGCACAGCCTTCCCGGCTCCGATGGAGGGAAAGGCAGCTGTGTGGCTGTGACTGAATTGTCCTGGGAAAGTTCTGGAAAGGTCCATCTGTTTGCTTTCAGAGCATGGAAACAAGCCTGTAGGGAGTTTTTCCCAGAGCCCGTCTCACTGTGAGCTGGCTTGAGAGCAGTGGGACTCCAGGCCGGGCTTGCTGAAGGAAGGTGGTGACGCGGACGTCTGTGTGGCCCCAGGCATGCCGGACAGACGGCTGTACCCGCACTACAGATGGCGAGTGTCCGGATCTCACCAACGCGGCCTCGTGAGGTAACTGCGTGAGAGCTTTCGACGTTTGCTATGAGACGCCCTTCAGGCTCCCCGCACCCGGAGAGCCTCCCAGGGGCTTCTCCGTGGTGACTGGGGACTTGGGGCAGGTGCGCTGTCCTCCCGGCCGCCCCACACCGCACCTGCCCCATCTGACCACTCAAAGGGACTGTTCCGTACTAGTTTCCAGCAGGTCCACCTCCGGGCCAGGCTGGAGAAAGAAAAACACCAGGTCGGTCTCCCCAAGACTGAGTTCTCAGGACACGAGTCCTGCTGAGAATGGTTCCCTTTGAGGTAAAGGACATTTCACAGTTTCTGGGACCCGTCAGGGACTTAAGGGACATCCTCTCCAGCTCGTGGGAGCTGACCGTGGCTCTGCTGTTCCCACGTAGTCTTGCGAGCTGCCCTCTGTTCCCCTTGTCCCTTCTTTGTCCACATCGGGCCCGTCTGAGAGGCAGAGTCTGGTATTGGTGACACGGCTGTAGGCCTGGCGGCCTGCCTGCCGTCCTTGGAGGCGGCCAGGTTCACTGTGAGGCCGGATACCTTCACGGCGCCGACAGCCTCAGTGAGCGGCAAATATAAGGGATACTTTTATTCATTTTTAAATTACACTTATTCCAAGGGTCCGAGCATGTGGCCCTACGTGGGAAGCCCTGGCCCTGCCATCATGTCCTTGTAAGACTTTGCTGTCCTGTGACCCCAGAGCTCTCGGCTTGGCTCTGCACCAAGGCCATTTTGGAACCAACCCTGGGACAGTCTACCCTGTGTGACAACCCGCCGTAGGTCTATTACATTTGTCCTCCTCTAGGGACGGCATCGTGTGTCTGTCTTACACGCCCCTACAGGGAAAGGGGGCCGATTCAGAATTTCTCACCGAGTCTGCCCAAGTTGTGCCCGCTTCGGGTCCAGGAGAAGTGAGAAGCGGTCACGTGAACTGTAAGCCTGTGCCCAGGACACGGACTGGCCCAGACAGCCCCAGGGCCTCCTGTTTCAGCGGTGGGCCTCCGGCTCGCTGGCCGCGGGGACAACACTCAGGCTAGATCAGCCCTTGGCCCCATTCGGGCCTCCCTGCCTCGGCTGCCTTTGCAAGTCTCTCCATCTTGCTCTAAGAGACCCTCGGATCCCCAGAGGACATGCGTTTCATACCCCCAGTGTGATTCCCCGTTCCAACGGCCACCTCAAGGCTCAGAGAACCCGGGTGGGCCTTTCCCCAGCTGGCGCCCACGAGGCGGCCGGGGGAGGTCGGGACATGGGCTGCTCTGTGCGGATGGGCTGTGTCGGAGCTGCTGCTCCAGCGAGCCGGCCGCCCCAACAGCGCGTGGTGGTTAGAGACCCCACTCCACGCGGCTCCTACGTCCGTCCCTCGGTTCTCACTCCAGCGACCAGTCATTGAACTTGGCATGGCCCAGCGGCCCCCAGGCAAACCAGCTCTAACCGACAGTCCCTCTTTCTCCCTAAATACCTCCAGCGCCCCCCACCCCCCACCTGCTCTCGAGACCCCAGGTCTGAGATCCAGAATATCAGGCCGAAGCAGGAAAGGCGTCAGTCTCTGACCTGGGAGGACGTAGGGGAGTCTCAGATTGTGACCTGGAACCGGGCTGCAGAACGTCTCAGAGCAAGAGGAATCCTGTGAAGTCTGAGCCCTTCTCCCCTCCCGGCCAAGTTAGGGTTCTCACCCCTGGGCGGGTGTTCTGCAGCTGTTTCACTCCCAGACTGATTGTTTCGGTTTCTCGCGTTTACGCCTGACCCGTACCTGTAAGCGCAGCTGTCCACCACGAGGCAGGTGCCCTGAGGGCCCGGCTGTCCACGGCTCAGCCTCTCTGGCACCCACTCCAGCCCCCAGGCCCCTCCCAGCACCACCTTTCCCCGACACTTCTAGCCTTTTGCTGCTCCTGCTGTGGCCTGCAGACCGGCAGCAGGACGTCACCTGGGAGCTGGTTACAAACGTAGGATCTCAGGGTGTCTTAGACCCGCAGAATCGAGATTTTGTCTTGCGACAAAACCCCTAGATGAGTCACGTGCGCAACCCTGGGACACCGATTCTCAAACTTACCTGCCTAGTGACATCTCTAAGAAAGTTTTATGAGACGGGGCGCCTGGGTGGCTCAGTGGGTTAAGTGTCTCTGCCTTCCGCTCAGGTCATGATCTCCACAGTGGGCTCCCTGCTCAGCGGGGAGTCTGTTTCTCCCTCTCCCTCTGCTGCTCCCCCTGCTTGTGCTCTCTCTCTCTCTCTCAAATGAATAATCAATACATAAAAAGCTTTAAAAAAAAGCTTGAAGCATGCAGATGCCTGCCCTGAGAATTTCCTATTTAATGGGTCTGCGATATGGGCTAAGCATCAGATGTTTTTTAAGTTAAATTAATTAATTAATTAATTAAAGTAATCTCTACACCCCACGTGGGGCTTGAACTCACAACTCTGAGATCAAGAGTCGTACGCCCTACCGAGGGAGACTCTGGGTTGGGGGGAAGGGCTAGGCATCAGATTTTAAAGGACCCCCGGTGATCTTAATGTTCGAGGCAAGACAGGATTCTGACTACAGAAGAAACTCACTATTTCCTATTAGGTTCTCTGTTATGACGAAGAATCATAAGCTCAAGGAAACAGACATCAATTCTGTTAAACCAAGATTACAAAGAACCTATTCTAGGCAAGCTTTCTATGGTTGCTCCGGGCTGTGACAGGTTGGGGGACTTCACCGACGTGGGACACGGGACGTGGTCAGGAGTTTACCTTAATCCCTGCACTACGACACTTGCCCACAGCGTCAGGCACTGCAGCTCGGGGAGGGTCAATCATGGATATGAGCCCCACAAAACAAAGGTTATCCATGGGAAAATTGATTTCATCTGTATTAAACTTGAATCCCTTGGAGAAAGTGCTAGGCAGAGTCAAGAAGCAGAACCCTGGGGAGAGACAGAGGGACCAGTAGTCATTCAGCAGAGCCTGCATCCCTGTCTCGCTCACCCCAACATTTTCGATATTTCACCCCACAAGTAACCATTTGGATGTTATCTTGCACAGCACCTTACCCAGCACACGTTCCCCCAGGCCTCCTAGTTCCAGGTAGGTGTTCTGGAAGTCTCTCCTCATCTCGTCGTCCATGGGGTACTCCACCCCCTTCAGAAGGTAAGAAGAGCAAAACTCTAAGATCCTCTCCGGGGCCCCCTTCATCATCAGCACGTGGGGCTGGATGCTGTCGTCCTGCAGGTGGATGGACACCTGGGGGCGAGAGAGGGAGACTCCTTGCAGCAGGAGGGGGAGCAAGGGTTGGGGCAGAAAAGCAGGGGCAAAGTTTTTGAGGGTACAACACTAGGCTCCTCGGTCCACATGCCCCTCCCTGTTTCCTTTGTGCCCTACCTCCAGTGCAGCGCCCTCCCTCCGGTCAAGTCCAACTCAGGGTCGAGCCCAGCCCTCCTCCTGCCCGGGGATCCAACCCGCTGTTATTTGCACACAGATCTCTGCTATCTCTGCCGGAGCTCAGGGCACAAGCAGGGTTCTCACTTCTGGAAAGCACAAGTGTGGTCCCGGCAGAGGCAGCAGGGGAGACAGGGGAGAGAACGTGGGGGCCACAGGCCTGCGTCCCCCCAGCCGGGATGCTTTGTGATCTCAGGTCAATCCACTGAACCTCTCAAAACCTTCGTCCTTTGATACGATGCAAAAGAGTCTGTGCTGCTGACTTCACTGGGTTTTTAGGAGACACAGTACAGTCAAACACCCACGAAGACCTTTGGGCTCTGCCAAACCTAACTGCTAACATAGCTCGCTGTCGACCCAAAACCTTAACACATATTCTGTATGTACTAGGTATTACAGGCTGTGTTCTCAGAGCAAAATGAGCTTGAGAAAAGAAGATGTTAGGAAAATCACCAGGAAGAGAAAGTTCATGGACAGTACTGTAACTGTGCTTATTGAGAAACGTTCGTGTTTGAGTGAGAAACATCCGTGCCGTTTGGGGGTCAGATTATCTGTAAAAAAGTACTTTGAAAACCACAAAGCACAATCCAGAAATAGGCTTGTCATCGTCAACCCTCTGCCACTCTCCCAGCGGCGTGAGAAGTCCCAGGGGCTCGCGGTGGGGTTGGGGTTGGGGCTGGGGTTGGCGTGGTGGGCTGGGAGCAGGGAAGGCCAGATTCACAGTGAATTGGAGGACACCACAGGCCAGGAGGAGAGAGGAATGAGATGCATTTCGGTTTTGCATTTTCCCTTGATCTCTGATCTGTGAGCAGGAACTGTGATGGAGTTCCTCTTCCCAGCCAGGAGCTTCTCGGTATGAAGGCTGTTGGGTCAGCAAACCGGCATCTTGAAAGGACAGGGGGGGAGAGGGGGCCGGACCACACCGCCCCAGAGGATAACCAAGGTGGGAAGCCTGTGGGTAAACTGCTGTTAAAGCCGTCCCATTAAAAACCTTCAAATATTTCCTATAATTCTGTTATATTCAAAATATGCCTAAGCAGTTAAGAGGGAAAATCTTAACTTGTTTAACCAGAAAGCTGTTAAGAGGTTTAAAAAGCTTGATTTCCTGAGTGCTTAATACGTATTTGTTCCCTATTTACTGGGGATTATTGGAGGAGGCAGCAAGACTTACGTATAAGCCAGTAACTTGGTCACAAAAAAATCAGAGCTTGATAGAGATTACAGATAAAAAGATGGGAGAATCTGGGACTATCAGAACAGAGACCCTGCCTTTCATTTCAATCTGAGAGTGAGGAAGACACGGAGCCTGCAGGTGACGCAGGGCTGGGATGGCCTGGCAGAGTGGGGCGGCTCCGCTGCCCTCGCTGCCCTCAGAGCCCACCCGCGATGGCAGGGCCCAGCTGGCCGAGCTCACCCAGCTGGGCCCTGCCATCGCGGGTGGGCTCTGAGGGCAGCGGAGCCCCCCCACTCTGCCTGGGGACAGAGCTTCACAAAGGTGCTGGGGCCCCGCCCCATCACCCAGCTGCTAGAATCACAGGCGTGGGATGCAGTCAGGTGTTCCGGGGAGCGCCTTGCAAACCCAGCGTTGTTCCACAGGAGCAAACCTTGCAGGAGCCCCAGAGACGCCACCACGGCTGCACTGCATGGCCGCAGGAGGCTCTACTGCGACTGTCACCAACCAGCCTGTCCTACCCACGGGACACTTCCTGCTGGCTCTCTCCACTGGGGATGGAGCCCCACGCTCGGCCGGGGATCGGGGATCAAACGTCTCTTCCTTTACACCTGTTCCTCCCTTTACCTGCTGGTCCCTTTCTCCTGAGCTGAGCCTTCCTCTTGATGGGGACACCGGGTCTCCACTGTCTCTATCCTACTGTTCAGAGGGGAGGCCCAAGGCGAAGGCAAAGCTCCCACTTCCCCAAACTGCGAGCCCGCCTCCGCCCCCATTCTACCTGCATGGGCTCCGTACCTGGTACTTGTTGGTGGAATTAAAGGGGATCTCGGCCACTTTGGGGTTTTTCTCTCTCATCTCCTTCACAGAGCTGTACGACTGCTCGATGAACTTGAGGAGGGCTGACTCGGAGGCGTCCCCCGTCGTCTCCCGCTGCCAGGACGGGGTTTGCACAGTGAGCGCGAGGGGTACCGCACAGGGCGAGGGGGGTGATGGGGAGGACCTGGGGACAATACCTGAGCGCCAGGATAGAGATTTCTGGGGCAGAGGGCGGGGCACACCCAGACCCCGAGGCGTCGGCTGCCCCCAAGGCATCGGCTGCCCCCACAGGCCTGATACCTTAGCAATGGGAAGGTTCTCCTGGTGAGCCTTAAAGTCGGCTCGGTTGCAGAGGCCGGCGATCCGGGCCAGGATGAACCAGGTCACAGAGCTCTTGGCGGTGAATGTTTTCCCTAGGGAAAAGCAGCGGCTGGTGAGCGGGGTGGGGGGCGGGGAGTGTGAAGCAGGTGACTTCCTCGCCTCCTGCTCGACAGGACATCCCTCGTCCGTGCTCAGGACCCGGTTGTCCTCTGTGTCCGCGCTCCCTCGGCCCACACACCACCCCCGGCCCCTCCACGGCTGGCCGCCCCACGCCGCTCGAGTCACCGGTCTGCTCCTCCCTGGTGTCGGCCTTGTGTATGGTCTTGTCGAACCACATGTGGGCGACGGTCATGCGGTTCTGGGTGAGGGTGCCCGTCTTGTCGGAGCAGATGGTGGACGTGGAGCCCAGCGTCTCCACGGCTTCCAGGTTCTTCACCAGGCAGTTCTTGCGCGCCATGCGCTTGGCTGTCAGGGTCAGACACACCTGGGGCCACAAAGAGGGCTGAGAATTAGCGGAGACGAGGAGGTCAGCTGCTCACACCACTTTGCGTTCTGGAAATCTGGTCATTTGTATCGCTTTTGTAATTTTTGGTACTTCTTTCCCTTTTGTTTCCACCCATTTCGCAATTCCACCTGAGGCCACGGTAAAGAAAACCAGGAGAGGGACTGTGCTCGTGCTTTACGGCAGAGCTCGGAAAAAGGGTATTTTCCTTCACCAGGTGAACGTAGAAGACGACCGTATCTCCTGGAATATTCTGCTTCCCGCCAGGACGCTTTCATCTTTGCGGCTCAGCAACCCTGTTCAAGTCAAGTTCAGGCCACCCCCCTCTCTCCAGTCCCTCCTTCCCAGGGACCACGTCGATAGCTAACCTTTCATTGTGGCTTAAGAGGGCTGGTACCAATAATTAGAAAAAAAAAGAAAAAAACCTGAGAAGGAATATTGCAACACTGGAAAGGACTTGAGAGATCGTTTATAAACTGGGACATTTTTGTTGACATTAATTAAATGGACCATAAATTCAGTGAAGGTCAGGTGTGTGTAGCAGGTTTGTTTTAAAAACTAATCAGTTCTTGGGCTATGGTTATATCAATACAGAATTCCAATTGTGGGGTTATGATTTATTTACATATTATCACTAGTCCCGAGGTTTTGGTGCCAACCAACTGCACCCTGAGTAGTGTTCTCATTTCTGTTTTATCTCGTACTGTAGTATCTCATTATCCATTTCTATTTGTACTGATGAATGGGAGCACCCCCCCAACAAGTGGTCAGTAAGCTAAGGGTGTGAAGACCATTTTCCTGTGAAGAGCGGTGAGAGGAAAGGGGGTGATTTCACCTCCCACCAGAGAGTTTGAGGACACATGATGGCTCCCATCAGTCAAACGCGTAATTTGTGGAAGAGAGAAAAATGACTTGTTTTGTGTCTCTTCAGATGGGAAAACTGGGACCCAACAGGAAGTCATATTTCCGCTCAACACGATGAAATCCAGCTAGAGCAAGCCCGTGGCGAAATGAGCGGAGACCGAAAGGGGAGGCGTTGCCAGGACTAGAAACACTCATCATCTCCCATGGATTGTATGTAAGATATTCAAGTTTGGTGAAAGGTTGGATTTCTATGGGCTTTGAAGTCCTTTCCAATAAGATTCTATAATTCTGAGTTAATCTTCCTCTAGAAACTGATGATTAATCAAACTGACACCTGGAGATATTCAGTGATTTGACCAAGTTCACTGTACAGCCCAGACTGGAACTCACTGCTGGTGACTCAGAATCTAAATGCTTCCTGTATCACAACTCCTGGAGAAGAAAGAGAAGGCACTAGAAAATATGGGTGGGAGGAAGTCAGGGTCCTGTGGGCGCTAAGCGGCAGACATGTGTGCGCACATCAGGAGTCCTCGGCACTAGAAATATCCAACAGCAGAAGAGATACATGGTTTCATCCCTTGGGGCGGCGTGTCTGCCCAGAGGCCCCCCTCCACCTAAGCTACTCACCGTGACGGTGGCCAGCAGCCCCTCGGGCACATTGGCCACAATGATGCCAATGAGAAAAATGACAGCCTCCAGCCAGCCATAGCCCAAGATAATTGAGAGCCCGAAGAAAGTGACACCAAGGAAGACGGCCACCGCTGTGATCAGATGGATGAAATGTTCGATCTCCATGGCGATGGGGGTCTTGCCGACCACCAGGCCTGACGTCAGAGAGGCGATGCGGCCCATCACCGTGGAGTCTCCCGTCGCGATCACAATGCCCCGAGCCGTTCCTGTGGAATGAGGGGGAGGTCTGAGGCGGGGGGCGCTGCGGGCTTGTTTCTACGAGGAGAGCACTGTCCGTGGTCCAGAGCCAGGTGGACACTTAGACCCTCTGAGAGCGTCTAGTATTCTATCGCCCCGTATTTAGTTTACACAAGTAAGGTTCTCCCCGTCCGAAAAATCTCTGAGATTTCACAGTTCTCTGATTTTATCGACTCATGGCATTCCCCGTCAAGAAGGTCTTGATCACCCTTCATCTAAATGTCTTCTATTGTCTGTACGTTTCTTATTTTGTCCTGAATGGACAAAATGCAGCTGAATGGTTTCTAGATCCCCAGGAATCAGGGTCTCCTTCTGCTAGAGTCCTCCCTCCCAGCATCTGGCTCTCCCCTGTCCCAGAGGTTCTCAGCTTCTCAAGGGACTCTGGGCGATGCCTGGAGGCCTCTCTGCGGTCACAGCTGGGGTGGGAGGGGCTGCTCCTGGCAGCGGGCGGGTAGAGGGCAGGGGTGCAGCTCCACATCCTGCAAATGATGGGAGCGCCCCCTTACACCCCCTCCAGGGGAGAATTATCCTGCCCTAACAGTGACAGTAGGGAGGCTGGGGAGCCGTTGGGGCCGGAGCCCCTCCCCGCTCCGCCTGCTGGAACCAGCCTGACCCCTGCCGGGGAGCAGACGCCATAACAGCTGGGCTTCGGGGCCTCTCCTTCCGCCAATGCCCCCCTGCCCTGAGTCAGAAGGGGGACCTGGATATCATGTCTGGCTTTACCTGCACGGGACGCTGGCCCCTCACCTACATGGCTTGAAACAAGGTTCTTGGCTCAAAACCATTTTTCCTGCTTTATCAAAATAATGGCTGAAATTCCTACCCTTCCAAGGCATGGTCTGAATCACCCAGAAAAGTGACGTATCCTAGAAATATCACTTATGTTAGAAGCACAAGGGCTCTGGCTGGAGTTCAGCTTTTCAGCGAGGCCCCTGGGAGCCCTGGGCCTCCGTGCACGCCCGACCCTCAGGCTGCCTCGGCTCTGAGAAGGGGATGGAGGCATGGAGGAAGCAGGGGGGACAGTAAAGCTTATTCAAGGAGCCTAGAACGGGAATGGGCACATCGTAGGCACGCCAGTGTTGGCCTCTTTCTTTTCTTCACGTGTGGGACTGGGTTGGGGGTTTCTACTCCGACAGCACCCACAAACGCTGTTTCTGGGGTGGCCTCCTGCTGTGGGAGTCTGAGAGCGGGGTCCCGCCCAGATGGCCACGAGGGGCAGGTGGGGTTCTGGGGAAGAGTGGCCCCGCCGCGAGGCCCTCTGCAGATGGGCTCCCCACCCCGCTGCCCGCCGGAGGGCTGCCCTCCGGAGGCGTTCACGGAGGCTTGGCGAAGACACTACGGTAACCGAGAGGTGCTGAGAGGGTTTGGGGTTTGGGGCAGGGCTGGACTATGCCACTACCTGGGTCTATTTTGTGCCAGGGTTTGGTCTAGTTCTTCCTTTTTACTCCTTCATGGGTTTCCCTGTGCGCAGAGAGGCAGGATCTACTATCGAATCCCACGTGTCTGGAGACAGGATGGGTGGGTGTCAGCCCAGGGAAAATCAAGGCCACGGGCAGGCCTCCCGTACCCCAGGCCAGACTGATGCCTCCGTGCTCCTGTATATGGCCAGGGAGACAGGTCCGGCCCCATGGAGATGCGTGAGAACAAAAAGACAGACGACGTCTGTATCCGCAGCCCCATCGGCCATGAAAGTAGGAGGTGAGGGTCTGGGAGAAAGGTTAGAGGTGGCTCCTCATTGGCAAAGTGCACAGACGTTCCCCGGTTCAGAGTCAGGAGCTCCTTCGACCTGGCTCCGCGCCCTCGGCCACATCTCATGTCCTTCTGGTCTTCGACTAAGGCCCCCTCCATCCCGGCCAGACCCTTATTTCTGGAGAGGGATGTCACCACCCACTTTCCTCCCCTTACCTGAATACACTTTGCTGACCAAAAACCTGCTTAAGAAGGACAAATGTGAGCAAAACTTTCCCCTAAAATTTAATAATGCAAATCTAGTGTTTTTGAAGGAAGCTTGCTAACCTGCCTCTTTCTGTCTGATCAAAATTAAAAAAAAATTTTTTTTCAATATATATTTTATTTTCTGTTTGGATTCTTCTTCAGCTTTATTTTATTTTAAAGTATTTTTAAAAAAATCTTTTAAGATATTTTTAACTTAAATAAATAACTTCATGACCGGAGGGCTCACAGACCCCATAAGGGTCTGTGGAAGGAGCACAGGCTTTGGGGGACGGACTCGCACCAGAATCCTTGAGTCTCCTCTCTCCTGCTGACTTGTGCTCTTGGATACTGCCTTTCATTTCTTTGAGCTCTCCACGTGCAAAATAGAGCTAATGTCTGTTGTGTCGTGTCGTGAGACTCAGACACGTCTGTAACATTTGACACGAGTGAGGCATTGAATTAAAAAAAAAAAAACGCTGTTTCTTGGATACCCAAACATTTATTCTTAAGCGTGAGTAATGGCTTTCATGTGTGTTTCAGAGAGCTTTGCTGGCCTCCTTAAGTGTGGGGGGGTTTGGTGAGAGACTGAGCCCATCATTACCACCTTGGCCAGAACTGCCTCCCCCCTCAAATGTACCTTAGATTTTCGGGGCAAAGCCAAAGTGTGAGGGGGAATTGTGGTGAACTCTAATTTCCAATGCCAGTACCTCCCTGGAACAGTGACAAGTGGGGACTCCTCTCAGAAGGAGACTGCCCCTGCAGGGCTGGGTAATTTTCTGCCCTCCCATGCTATTTTCAACTTCTAGAGCCCAGTCCACTCACTGGCCAGAATAATACGAGAGGACGGTCACAGCGCACTTCCATCGTGTCAGGCTTTGCGCTACGCATCGTATACGTGTGAGCTCATTGAATCCACGGAAAAACCTACGAGACAGCGACTCAGTGTCATCACGGTGCCCACGCGGAAAGGGTGACTTTGACCCTTCACCAGAGTGATGGGAGGACCTAGGCTGTTCACCAGCTGTTACCTACCTACTCGTTTAGAAGACGGGGAGTTCTCGAAATCTTTGTTTCAATCTCTGCTTCTGAAACTAGGCTACTTACGACGCGATGCTCACCTTCCACGCAGTTGGTGGAGAAGAAGCAGATGTTGCGGGTCTCCAGAGGGTTCTCGTGGGTGAACTCGGGGGAGCGGGTCTGGGGCTCGGACTCTCCCGTCAAGGACGAATTGTCCACCTGGGAGGGGCGGGAGGATGGGACGGAAAGAGTGAGCATGGGAAGAAAGATTCCTTTACAAAGACGACATGTCTTTGTCTGCCACCAGCGTCCCATTCCTGGCACTCAGGGAGAAACAAACACACACCAGCACCTACTGTCTCCAGCCTCAAATGTGCTCCTGCAGCTCCTTGAGGTTCTGACCATGCTTCCTTTCACGGAGTCCAGCTCACTACCCGAGGCTGCCCCAGGACAGGGCTTGGCCCCTCCCGTAGCTTCCCGCATCCCCTCACCTTACACCCTTGGGAATAGATGAGCCGGATGTCCGCCGGGATTTGGTCTCCGCCCTTGACTTCTACCAGATCTCCTACCACCACGTCCTCCACATCGATCTGCATCTTCTCTCCGCCTCGAATCACCAGAGCTTGCTGTGGGAAGATGGCACAGGGTCATTTCCAAAGCTTTCTGCTTCCCCCGTACCCGCTCCTGTACTCCTGTTCCTGGTCTCCTTCCACCGTCGCCCTTCCTTACGCGGTCACTCACCACATCACCCTGGAAGGTCTCTTTGGCAGATTGCAAATTTTTACCACCCCTGTCCTTGCAGATGGCTCTGATGACCATCTGTCTAAGAGATGGGGGTCTGTCTCTCCATCCTTACACTTGGGCTGGGCTGCATGGCTGGCTTTGGCTCATAAGACATTAGAAACGTAAGGCAAGCAGAGACTTAAAAAGTGGGGGCTTGCCCTGTTGTCACTGGGAACCCCTCTACCACCATCGCGATCAAGCCTGAGCTAGCTGCTGGAGGAAGAGGGTCAGGAGGAGAAAGGCCCCAGCTGTCACAGCCGTCTCAGCCAGCCATCCCCAGACACTGGCATGAGGTCATCTGAGACCGTCCAGCACCCCTCAGCCCAGTCCAGATCAGAAGAGCCCCCCCCCCCCATAGAAGTGCGGGAACTGCTATGTCTGTTGTTTTGGAGCCACGAAGTTTGGGTGGCTTGTTAGGCAGCCAAAGCTAATGAATGGTCTCCAAATCCTACTTTATTTTACCAAAGCATCATCCCCTGCCTGAACTCTCATGCAGGGGAGGAATTAATTCATGTTGACACAGAAGGGAAGAGATCCTGGGCTGTGACACTAGAACATGACGGTGCTGTCGGGAAATTCTGGTGCCTGCTCCTTTCCAAGTTTCCAGCTGTGTGCGTAGAAAGATCCTTCTGCTGTCCTATTATTTCCAGATGCTTAAACGTACCTTCTTAGTAGAAAATAATCTAAACGTTCAGAAAAGTGGCGAGCTTAAAAATTGTACCAAGAATACTGTATAACCCGTACCTAGATTCACCTGTTGACATTGAACCCCGTTTGCTTTGTCCTTTGGTCACTGTCTGCACATACGCATGTGTGTGAACACTTCTTTGCCTGCACCATCTGAGGGTAGGTGACATATGTCCCGAGCTTCTATCCTGCGTCCTTTAGTGTGCACGTCCCAAGAACGAGTATATTTATATCCACAACACAGTTGTCGATTTCGGTGGATTTCGCTTCGACACCGTGCTGTCCTCTCCTATCTGTATCCTCGCCTCGTCAGGTCCCTGTATGTCCTTTGCCACATTATTTTCTCCTGAAGAACAGGATTCGGTCTCGCGTTGCATTTCGTTGTTATGCCCCTTTAACCCCCTATAATCTGGAACATTCTCACAGCTGTTGTCTTTTTTTTTTTTTTTTTAAACACAGAGAGAGAGAACTTGCTTGAGGTGGGGGGCTGTGCAGAGAGAGAGGGCTAGAGAGAATCCCAAGCAGACGCCACCCCCAGTGCCGAGCCCAAGGCTGGGCTTGACCCTGAGATCCTGACCTGAGCTGAAATCGAGAGTCAGACGCTTGACTGACGGAGCTGCCCAGATGGCCCCATTCTTTGTCTTTAAGGTCATCAACATTTGAAGAATCCAGCTTCTCCAGCCTCCTCTGTACCTCCCTGGCTTTTACTAGAATGTTCTCCTTTGGGGCTTCAGATTATGTTCCTCCCATTCAGATTATGCTGGCCGGACCAGACTGCTTCATAGGTGATGCCGAGTCTTTCTCAGGTGCTTTTAATGTCTGACCCAGTAAAACCTGGGGGCCCCCACCCTCATCACCATCCTCAATCAGTTCACGGATCGTAGGGCGTAATTTTCCGGGGACTCCAAAAGTGTGTGTTTGGCCACATTCTACACCCCTCTCACTAGATCCTCCGTAGTAAGCCTACCTGCGGCACCATTTTTCTGAAGGACTCCATGATCTTGGAGCTCTTGGCCTCCTGGTAGTAGGAGAAGCAACCCGTGATGATGACCACGACAGCCAGGACGCTGCCCAGGTACAGCTGGGGGCAGGGAAACAAAGAGCTCATCAGGATGTCTTTTCCTTCCTCTTCACCCTCAGAAAATCCACTTGTAGTGGGTTAAGCCTCTGCCTTTGGCTCAGGTCGTGATCTCAGGGTCCTGGGATCGAGCCCCGCATCAGGCTCCTTGCTCAGCGGGGAGCCTGCTTCCCCCCCCCTCCCCTCCTCTGCCTGCCTCTCTGCCTACTTGTGATCTCTGTCAAGTAAATAAATAAAATCTTAAAAAAAAAAAAAAAAAGAAAAGAAAACCCACTTGCAAGGGTAACAGCCAGGGGCTGAGGGAGAGCCCTGAGCTTGGGTGAGGGCCAGCAGGATCCAACAAACACCCAGGAAAACTATTCATGGCCTGGGGGGTAAGGGGAGGGCCAGGGAGGGAGCCTGGGAGAAAGGAGATAAAGAGATGAAAATTCTGGCAAGAGAAAGGGACGGCGGAGCGCTTTGATGGTCAGTCCGGAAGACAGATGATCAAAGCAGGGCATGTTTCTAGGTGGAACCATGGCTCTCGGGGAACTGAGTCAGGAGCTTGCTAGGTAAAAGGTGGGGGGAAACCAGGAGGGACCAAGGCCTCCCTTGGAAAATCCTGGGAGTACAGAGGATTCGGGCCAGAGGCCTTGAGGAGTGCAAGGCTACTGAGCGGCAGAGGGCAGGGCCAAGCAGAGACTGGGCTGGCCGGGGCAGCCGAAAACACTTACGTTGTCCTCGGTGGCCTCCTCATTGAAATGTATCTGGATGCCGTAGGCCAAGAAGCAGAGAATGGCCCCAATCCACAGAAGGATGGAGAAGCCACCGAACAGCTGTTTACAGAATTTGACCCATTCTGAAGTGGTTGGGGGAGGGGTAAGTGCATTGGGTCCATCTCGTTTCAAGATTTGCTGCGCCTTTCCTGGGCTAAGGCCCTGTGTGGAGAGGAAATAGGGAAGGAACAAGCAGCGGCTGCCGCCAAACTCACAGGTGCCATTTAGGGCCCCCCGCGGGGGTGGGGGCCGTCTAGAGCCCAGTGAAGCCCCCAAAGATCGCCCTGGAAAGTCTCCCAGAGCTTGCGGCACAGAACGGCTCTCCTTTATTTAGCACGGTTACACGGCGAGGATTTTCGGTTGGTGGACGGATTCACAAGACTTTGGAAGCCCTGTCTTGGGTCGGTAGTGTGGCAGGACAGAGCGGGAAGGGTTTTCACCCTCGTGCAGCGCGCACCCCACGAGAGGCAGCCGTCCACGGTTCGTGAGATCACGCGCAAGCCGGTACGATGCCGGGGTCCAATAGCTTACGTCAGTACCATGGGGACAGTCACACTGGGGCTCGTTAACTTAGACGTGGGGGGAAAGTTCCGATACCAACCCAACACACGGAGGCACAGATTCCCCCGGGAGCCTGCCTTTCCCTCTAACTGAAAGCAATGGTAGAAGCCACCGGAGGGTTAGAAAACAAACTGCATCCCCACCCGCCACGCCCAGCTTCCCCTGAAAAAGTACAACTTGAATGAAAACAGGACAAGCCTTCTGCGGGCCTCCCTGGTTATCAGACAAAGCCCCTCCGATGAAGAAAGTCTAGAACTAAGAACTTATATTTTGAGGGCCTGTAAGTTTTTATTTGTGGTCCTGGTATTAGTGGTAACAGTAGCAACAGCACTAAGGGTCATAGTCGGAATGTGTGGTTTTACTGTTAATCCAGTGGTTCTCAAAGTGTGGCCTGGGAGCCCATGGGGTTCCGAGACCCCTTCGACCCCTTTGGGGGCTCCACAAGGTCAGATGATTTTCACAACAGTGCTAAATTGTGGTTCGCCTTTTTCCGCTCTTGCTTTCTAGTGTATGGTGGAATGTTCCCAACGCTACACGACAGGTATCATGACAGATTTAATCCTGAACGTATATGGGAATCCAGCTGTCTTCTGTGAAAAAGCTAGACATTGAAGAGGTTTGCAAAAATGTCAAAAGCCCTAAAATTTTATTTGGGAAAACTGTTATTTGTAATACGAATATTATTTATACTAATATATAATGTATTTACTCTTGTTTTTAAATGAATTAGGAAGAATTTTTAAATTTTCTCAATTTTAATGTTGAAGATGATAGCCATGGACAGATGTAACTCACATACATGAAAGCTCTTTAGGGTCTTGAGAACTTATGAAAGCGGAGAGGGGTACCCCCACAACCAGGACTGGAGAAGTGCTGCCCCACCCCCTTCTCCTTTCTCTCATCTGACCCTGCACTCTGGGGGGTACCCTGCTGGGCTTTCTGAGAAGGTGTGGGGGAGGGGAACTTGGCTGGGAGGAGGGAAGGGTAACAACATTGACCTGGAAGTTCAGGCTCCTGACTTCCAGCTCCAGGGCTACCCGGGGGTGGGGGGGGGTTGGGGGGCTCAGCGTCGCTCCGCCTCCCTCAGCGGTGGCCCTGCTCACCATCGTCAAGTCCACAGAGTACTTGGCGCTCAGCTCTTCCAAGGTTAACTTGTGGTCCTCCTGCGGGGACAGGGGAGTCATTGGGGGATGGGTGGTGACCTGGGGCCGAGGGGGGTCCTGGCCTGGGTGTGGTCTCCGGGCAGGAGGGGACGGGCTGCCGGGCTGAGGAGAGCGGCTGGGGGTCTCACCAGGACCACTTCCTTCTTCAGCTCTTCCATTTCAGCCTTCTTTTTTTTCCTCTTCATTTTTCTTCTCATCCTAGTCTTAGACCCCTTTTTAGGTCTTGGGCTTGGGTACTGCTCGTGAGGGGTCACAGTCCCCTTCTTCCCCCCGCGCCCCATTGTCCTCCTTAGATACGGCTGACCCAGCTCAGCTGGCTGGAAGGGAGCCAAGAGCAAGCAGAAAAGGCAGGGGGCACTGAGGAGTCAGGCGGTGGGGACGGGAAGAACAGGGGAGCGAGGAGGAGAGGGCAGGGGGGACAACGCCAGGGGAGAGCAGAGGCCAGAGGTGGGCTCCAGGGAGGCGGCAACAGGCGGCAGGCCAGGGCTGGAGACGCGGTGAGGGCAGCCCCGCGGCTCGGTGAGGAGGTGCGGATGCTGAGGGGGCCCAGTGGGTGGGTCAGGGGGAGGAGGCCCCTGGCCCAGGCCCCACGGGCGCCACGGCAACCCCCAGGGCTGTGGTCACAAAGGCCTCAGGACAGTTCTGGCCCAGAGTCCAGAAGTCCTGTCTCTGGGCTTGAGGGCCACAGGAGAAGCGTCCACCCCAGGGAGAACGTTGGCGGGAGGGCCAGACGGGACCCAGGTCCCCTCTGGATCCTGCTGGCTTCCAGGGCTCATGGGGACCCTAGGCAGCTGACAGAAAAAATAAAGCAGGCCCTGTGTGTGAGCATGCCCTTACTGAGCCCGCTTCTCCGCCCCCTTGACCTTGAGCTTTTAGTTTTAGGAGATCATAGCAGAAAAGGTCAGATCTTGGGCATTTGAATCAGTCCTGGGTTTGAATCCTGACTCTTCCGCTTACCAGCTGTGTGGCTTTGGGCAAGTTACCTAACCTCTCTGTGTCTCCTTTTCCTCGTCTGTCAGAGGGATACCGACTACCTAAGGTGGCAAAAGTTGGGATTAAATTGAAGTGCTCTGTGTAAGGCACAATGTAGGTATATGTAGTATGGGATCAAGAAATAGCTTGAATTAACTATTATTAGTTTCATTTGTGGCTTAATGTGCAGCCCTTCTTAGAATAAAGCTCTGCTTTTCCGTATGACAGCACGGTATTTCCCATCTTAATAGTATATATTTTTCTCTTCTGTTCTCCTTCTTTGACATCTCAGTGAGTGCTTTGATAATGTTAATTTTATTTATGTTTTCTGTGTAAATACGTCCTTCCAAGATGGATCTCGGAAGCAGCCATATATTTCTAACATTTATAGAATTTCTCCGTGACGCATGCCACAGACGCTTTCCCTTTCTGATCTTGTCTGATATTTGTTTCACTGAGTTTGAGTTTGGCATGCGTTTTAAAAGTATGACTGCACCAAAAAAAAAAAAAAAAATACGACCGCATCAGAAAACATCATCTTGCTGCTGACGCAAAGCTCCTTCGCTATTCAGAAATAGAGATTTTCCCTCCCCGCCGGGACAATGATGATCTGTTTTTTCACTAGATTGGATTGGATTTTTCTTCTCTATTAAAAACGTACAAAATAAAAACTGGAAGTCCCACTTCTCCACTGCTACTGCTGTTGACGGTGTGTGTACCTCCTTCCAGTCTTTTCTCTGTTTAGACAGACAGAATCTCGAAGGAGATTTCCTTCTCAATCTGTAGAGAATCATCCACGTGCCCTTTGGTTGTCAGTCTTTCATGTTTGCGCTGCTCTGTGTGTAATGTCTGCGACGGGATCCGGATTCCACCACGACCCTGAGCTGCTTGGTTATTCCCCCCCCCTCATGGATTTATAGGATAATTTCCTTTTCTTTTTTTCTTTTTTTATTTTATTATTTACTTAACAGACAGAGATCACAAGTAGCCAGAGAGGCAGGCAGAGAGAGAGGAGGAAGCAGGCTCCCAGATGAGCAGAGAGCCTGACGCGGGGCTTGATCCCAGGACCCCGAGATCATGACCTGAGCCGACGGCAGAGGCTTAACCCACTGAGCCACCCAGGCGCTCCTCCTTTTCTTTTTTAATCATTAGAAACAGCACTGCAGTGGCAACCTCCCACAGAGCTCCCTTTACGTCCAGGAGCTTCAGTTTCCGTGGAATCGGTATCTGTTGCTGAATCATAGGGTCCTCTCATCTGAAGTTTTAGAAGACTCCGGCAGACTGCTCTCAGAAAGGGCTCTTCCTGTCTCTGTCCCAGCAACGAGAGACAAGTGTGTTCTCGCATCACATGACTTTGATCTTTCTTATCTCCGCCATCATAGTCAGTGAAATTTGGTATCTTATAGTTTTAATTTGCATTTTGGATTGTCTAGGTGAGCATTTTTTCCCCTTAGAGTTAATGGGCTTTCTGGATTTGATTTTTCTTTTTGCGAATTATTCTTATGCTTTTTCCAGATTCCCATTGTTTTCTCATTCTCATGGATTTGTAGGAGCCCCTTGTCATACGCGGTACAAACCTTTTCCCACAGTCTTCGTGTGTAATGCGGCTCATAAAGCCCTTGGGAGCAAGGATCGAATTAAAGTTAAAATCACCCAGCTCATCTGTGCGTCATCTCTGTGAGCACAGCCCTCAGCCCAGCCTTGCATATGGGAGGTACCCACCCCCCCACAAAGCAATTTAACTGACCGAGAATCGATTGAAATTATTTTTGGAAACCCCATTCTGTTCCACAGACCTTAGCTCAAAGGTCTGACTCTTCAGAGAGGCCTTCTGGTTTCCAAGCCCAATATAGCTGTCCCACCTCTCATCCCCCATCCCCACCCCTCATCCCCCATCCCCACCCTCCAGCCCCCATCCTCAGCCCTCACCACCCCCACACCCTCCACCCCACTCCCAACCCCCCTCTCCACCCTCCACCCCATCCCTACCCCCATGCCCCCCACCCTCCAGCCCCCACCCCTCACCGAACCCTCACACTCCAGCATGCAGCCCTCAATCCACCCCTGTGACCTTGGCTGTACTCCCCACCTTCTGAAACCATCTGCCCACTTGTCTGTTGACTCGTTAATTGTCATTTTCTCCGTGACCGTGACCGTGACTGGCTTCTTCACGGCCACATACCCAGTTCCCAGAATAGCTCAGAGTGGCTGGTCCATAAGTAGTTCCTAAGAGTATGTTGAACGAATGATGAACTTTCAGCTTTTGTCTTAATGTTTAAGGTCTTGATGATAGCCACTTTGGTCTGCCATGGTTTAAAATCTGTTAGGGTCAATATGGTAGTCCCACAGGTGTCTGCTCGTGGGTTTCATAATTATAACAAATTCTTATATTCTTGCCCGACCCGTCCTGCAGCCCAACGTCACAACCAACAGGCCAGGCCTTGTGAAAACACGGGGAGGATTTTGATATTAGATTGAGTCTTTGGAGCAGCTTCTGCTTCTCCTTCCTCCGTTCGGCCTCCCAGACAGCAGTTGGGATTAGCCCTCCCGTATTCCTGCTTGTCTCGTTGATCTCCTTGTGCTTTCAAGTTTCTTTAGTAGGTGCCGCATGTCACGCGCGCGACATCTTGAGTGCGGTCGGGTTTGGTTCTGTCGTAGATGGAGCTGTTGGTGCTGTATTTTCTATCTCACTGATTTTAGGGATATGTGGGATTTTGAAAGAACTGGTATCTCCTACCCTGTGCCTTTGAACTCATTGCTTCCAGGTTTTGTCATTGTTGTTGCATTGTTTTGGACGACTTCCTCGGATTTTTTTAGGTATTTAACATCTCCTTTACCAAAAAAAGAAATATGTTTTTATTTCTTCTGGTTTGTCCCTGTATTTAGACCGTTTGGATACGAACTCCTAATTCAGGATTTCAGATGTTGCTAGCGCTTCTGTCGTGGTTTGCTGTGCTAGTTCTCCAGATGTGCTGTGTTCCTCCTCTCTCCTCAGCATCACGGCCCTTCCCATGTGCTTTTTCCTCCAACGTTTTAATCCAGAATAGATGTTGAATCTTACCAATCCCTTTCTCAACATTTTTTGGAAATGACTAATCACTTTTTTCTAGTAAATCTTAGTTGTTAGTTTTCCATGTAACATACTGTACTTGCATTCCGAGATGTACTGGTCATTCATTATAGACATATCTCATTAAATTCTATCAAAGCTGTATTTGTCTCCTACAATAGGCTGGGCAATACCATTTTCCCCCCTATATTCTAGTACAGTTGAAATAATATAAGGATGTCTTTGAGGAATTTGGAAAAAAAAATTCCTCCACTGAGTTCACTGGGTCTAAGGGGTTTTGGAAGATTCATGTTTTTAAAAACCAGTTAGTTAACATACAGCGTATTATTAGTTTCTGAGGTAGAGGTCAGTGATTCATCGGTTGCGTAAACACTCAGTGTTCATTCCCTCACGTGCCCTCCTTAGTGCCTGTCCCCCAGCTACTCCATCCCCCAACCCCCTCCCTTGTAGCAACCCTCAGTTTGTTTCCTATGATTAAGAGTCTCTTAAGGCTTGTCTCCTTCTCTGAATTCATTTCGTATCAGATGTCTTCCTTTGATAGCGATCTACTCATTTTTTCCTATTTTTTGCTGTATTCTTAGCATTATGAATATTTAGCTTGTCATCTGTCTCTGATGAGTCATCACGTTTCCTATTCTGTAGATAAAAAGGAAAGGCCGTGGAAAGCATTTCTGCCTGGATCAGGGGTTGGCCTTGACCTCCAGCAGGACTTCCACCTTGGGCTAAGCTCTCCAGCAGATTGATGGATTTCTTTGTATCTTTTTTCTTACCAGCCCTCCCCCCCACCCCCCCACCCCCACGCCCAGTTGCAATCCGCTCCCTTTGCAGGGCTCTAATCACCTGGGTCTGCCCAGCCCTCCGGCTCCAACCTTCATTACCCACAGATTCCTGGCTCCCTCCACGAGACCACAGCCCCCCCACCCCCAGTTCACTGCACCACTGGGCTGACCAGGCTCCCTGTGGGCGGGCTGGCCATCCCTGGGGCTGCAGCGAGTGTGAGTGTGGCTAGGAGGCTGGCCCTGGAACCACGAGTAAGATCCTGATTCGGAAGCACAGCGTCCTGCAAACTTTGACAAGAGAATTCAGTCCTTCCAAGCTGGGGGTGCCCAGGTGGCTGAGTCAGTTGAGTGTCCAGTTTCTTGGGCTCTTGATCTCGGGGTTGTGAGTTCAAGCCCTGTGTTGGGCTCCAAACTAAAATAAATAAATAATCCTTCCACGCTGAAGTTTTCCCCTCTGGGAATTACAGGTAACAGTGGTGTCCATCCTCCTGGATTCTGGGGGTTCT